CACCCTGGGCAAGAAGGACCCTTTGGTGCGAGGCCTACCCATCGTTGCGCGCTCTGCCACAGTGGCGGCCTGCGTGCTTGGGCTTGCCCCCCCTGCCCCCCTGGGTAGGTCAAGGGCGGCTCACGATGCCAGTGATGCCGCGATTCTTCGCGCAAGAGGCACCCGGGGCAAGAGGGACCCTTTGGTGCGCGGCCTACCCATCGTTGCGCGCGATGCGACAGTGGCGGCCGGCGTGCTTGCCCCCGCCGCCCCCCTGGGTAGGTCTAGGGCGGCTCACGACGCCAGCGATGCCTCGGCTCTACGCGCAAGAGGCACCCTGGGCAAGAAGGACCCTTTGGTGCGAGGCCTACCCATCGTTGCGCGCTCTGCCACAGTGGCGGCCTGCGTGCTTGGGCTTGCCCCCCCTGCCCCCCTGGGTAGGTCAAGGGCGGCTCACGATGCCAGTGATGCCGCGATGATTCGCGCAAGAGGCACCCGGGGCAAGAGGGACCCTTTGGTGCGCGGCCTACCCATCGTTGCGCGCGATGCGACAGTGGCGGCCGGCGTGCTTGCCCCCGCCGCCCCCCTGGGTAGGTCTAGGGCGGCTCACGACGCCAGCGATGCCTCGGCTCTACGCGCAAGAGGCACCCTGGGCAAGAAGGACCCTTTGGTGCGAGGCCTACCCATCGTTGCGCGCTCTGCCACAGTGGCGGCCTGCGTGCTTGGGCTTGCCCCCCCTGCCCCCCTGGGTAGGTCAAGGGCGGCTCACGATGCCAGTGATGCCGCGATTCTTCGCGCAAGAGGCACCCGGGGCAAGAGGGACCCTTTGGTGCGCTGCCTACCCATCGTTGCGCGCGATGGGACAGTGGCGGCCGGCGTGCTTGCGTGGCGGCCTGCGTGCTCGGGCTTGCGGTACAGGGCGGCTCGAGACGACAATGATGCCTCGGCTCTACGCGCAAGAGGCACCCTGGGCAAGAGGGACCCTTTGGTGCGCGGTTTACCCATCGTTGCGCGAGATGCCACAGTGGCGGCTTGCATGCTTGGGCTTGCCCCCCGCCCCCCTGGGTAGGTCAAGGGCGGCTCACGACGCCAGCGATGCCTCGGCTCTACGCGCAAGAGGCACCCTGGGCAAGATGGACCCTTTGGTGCGAGGCCTACCCATCGTTGCGCGCTCTGCCACAGTGGCGGCCTGAATGCTTGGGCTTGCCCCTCCTGCTCCCCTGGGTAGGTCTAGGGCGGCTCACGATGCAAGTGATGCCGCGATTCTTCGCGCAAGAGGCACCCGGGGCAAGAGGGACCCTTTGGTGCGCTGCCTACCCATCGTTGCGCGCGATGCGACAGTGGCGGCCTGCGTGCTTGGGCTTGCGGTACAGGGCGGCTCGAGACGACAATGATGCCTCGGCTCTACGCGCAAGAGGCACCCTGGGCAAGAGGGACCCTTTGGTGCGCGGTTTACCCATCGTTGCGCGAGATGCCACAGTGGCGGCTTGCATGCTTGGGCTTGCCCCCCCCGCCCCCCTGGGTAGGTCAAGGGCGGCTCACGACGCCAGCGATGCCTCGGCTCTACGCGCAAGAGGCACCCTGGGCAAGAGGGACCCTTTGGTGCGAGGCCTACCCATCGTTGCGCGCTCTGCCACAATGGCGGCCTGCGTGCTTGGGCTTGCCCCCCCTGCCCCCTGGGTAGGTCTAGGGCGGCTCACGATTCCAGTGATGCCGCGATTCTTCGCGCAAGAGGCACCCGGGGCAAGAGGGACCCTTTGGTGCGCTGCCTACCCATCGTTGCGCGCGATGCGACAGTGGCGGCCTGCGTGCTTGGGCTTGCGGTACAGGGCGGCTCAAGACGACAATGATGCCTCGGCTCTACGCGCAAGAGGCACCCTGGGCAAGAGGGACCCTTTGGTGCGCGGTTTACCCATCGTTGCGCGAGATGCCACAGTGGCGGCTTGCATGCTTGGGCTTGCCCCCCCCGCCCCCCTGGGTAGGTCTAGGGCGGCTCACGACGCCAGCGATGCCTCGGCTCTACGCGCAAGAGGCACCCTGGGCAAGAAGGATCCTTTGGTGCGCAGTTTACCGATCGTTGCGCGAGATGCCACAGTGAGGGACCCTTTGGTGCGAGGCCTACCCATCGTTGCGCGCTCTGCCACAATGGCGGCCTGCGTGCTTGGGCTTGCCCCCCCCGCACCCCAGGGTAGGTCCAGGGCGGCTCACGATTCCAGTGATGCCGCTATTCTTCGCGCAAGAGGCACATGGGGCAAGAAGGGCCCATTGGTGCGCTGCCTACCCATTGTTGCGCGCGATGCGACAGTGGCGGCCTGCGTGCTTGGGCTTACGGTACAGGGCGGCTCAAGACGACAATGATGCCTCGGCTCTACGCGCAAGAGGCACCCTGGGCAAGAGGGACCCTTTGGTGCGCGGTTTGCCCATCGTTGCGCGAGATGCCACAGTGGCGGCTTGCATGCTTGGGCTTGCCCCCCCGCCCCCCTGGGTAGGCCTAGGGCGGCTCACGACGCCAGCGATGCCTCGGCTCTACGCGCAAGAGGCACCCTGGGCAAGAGGGACCCTTTGGTGCGAGGCCTACCCATCTTTGCGCGCTCTGCCACAGTGGCGGCCTGCGTGCTTGGGCTTGCCCCCCCCGCACCCCAAGGTAGGTCCAGGGCGGCTCACGATTCCAGTGATGCCGCGATTCTTCGCGCAAGAGGCACCCGGGGCAAGAGGGACCCTTTGGTGCGCTGCCTACCCATCGTTGCGCGCGATGCGACAGTGGCGGCCTGCGTGCTTGGGCTTGCGGTACAGGGCGGCTCGAGACGACAATGATGCCTCGGCTCTACGCGCAAGAGGCACCCTGGGCAAGAGGGACCCTTTGGTGCGCAGTTTACCCATCGTTGCGCGAGATGCCACAGTGGCGGCTTGCATGCTTGGGCTTGCCCCCCCGCCCCCCTGGGTAGGTCTAGGGCGGCTCACGACGCCAGCGATGCCTCGGCTCTACGCGCAAGAGGCACCCTGGGCAAGAGGGACCCTTTGGTGCGAGGCCTACCCATCGTTGCGCGCTCTGCCACAATGGCGGCCTGCGTGCTTGGGCTTGCCCCCCCCGCACCCCAGGGTAGGTCTAGGGCGGCTCACGATTCCAGTGATGCCGCGATTCTTCGCGCAAGAGGCACCCTGGGCAAGAGGGACCCTTTGGTGCGCTGCCTACCCATCGTTGCGCGCGATGCGACAGTGGCGGCCTGCGTGCTTGGGCTTGCGGTACAGGGCGGCTCAAGACGACAATGATGCCTCGGCTCTACGCGCAAGAGGCACCCTGGGCAAGAGGGACCCTTTGGTGCGCGGTTTGCCCATCGTTGCGCGAGATGCCACAGTGGCGGCTTGCATGCTTGGGCTTGCCCCCCCGCCCCCCTGGGTAGGCCTAGGGCGGCTCACGACGCCAGCGATGCCTCGGCTCTACGCGCAAGAGGCACCCTGGGCAAGAGGGACCCTTTGGTGCGAGGCCTACCCATCGTTGCGCGCTCTGCCACAGTGGCGGCCTGCGTGCTTGGGCTTGCCCCCCCCGCACCCCAGGGTAGGTCTAGGGCGGCTCACGATTCCAGTGATGCCGCGATTCTTCGCGCAAGAGGCACCCGGGGCAAGAGGGACCCTTTGGTGCGCTGCCTACCCATCGTTGCGCGCGATGCGACAGTGGCGGCCTGCGTGCTTGGGCTTGCGGTACAGGGCGGCTCGAGACGACAATGATGCCTCGGCTCTACGCGCAGGAGGCACCCTGGGCAAGAGGGACCCTTTGGTGCGCGGTTTACCCATCGTTGCGCGAGATGCCACAGTGGCGGCTTGCATGCTTGGGCTTGCCGCCCCGCCCCCCTGGGTAGGTCTAGGGCGGCTCACGACGCCAGCGATGCCTCGGCTCTATGCGCAAGAGGCACCCTGGGCAAGAGGGACCCTTTGGTGCGAGGCCTACCCATCTTTGCGCGCTCTGCCACAGTGGCGGCCTGCGTGCTTGGGCTTGCCCCCCCCGCCCCCCTGGGTAGGTCTAGGGCGGCTCACGAGGCCAAAGCTCTAAAACATTGTCCCCAAACGCTTCGATCCTCGATTCCTCGACGGAGATGGTGACATCGGTGGCATCGACGAGGACCTTGCAGGCAGCCCTTGTTTTTTTTCGAAATATCGGTGGGCGATCCGTGGGGCGTGATCGAGGGTTGCAGGAAAGGGGCCCCAAACTGGCCCCTAAAGGGTCCTGCCCAAGCTGCACGACGAAGAGAGTTCACGGATTGACGTCACTGCAGTGCCACACGCACGGACAGAACGAGGAGCCGAAAACACCTAGTCGGACTTCAAGATAGCCCCCCCGAGAAGATAGCCCCCCCGAGAACAGGAGACCATCTCTAGCGGGCCCAAAGCAGCCCCATCCAAATGAGGAGGCCCGACGCGCCAAAAGCGCGCCGCCAAAAGCGCGCATCCAAGCGCAAGGGTCCTGCAGGTTCATGAAAAGTGAACCTCTCTTCGCCCCCCACCGTTCACTGCCCCCCCCCTGGAGCAAACATCCGATGTCTTGGAATCTTCAGCGCGGGGGCCGGAGAAATCCCGACCACTCCCCCGTGGCTGGCTTGTCACCCCGAACCGTTGTTTCACGGTCCTGGCGCCTGGCGAGGGCCCCCGGAGGCCGAAAACGACAAGAAAACACTTCGTCGCGTTTCTCTGCTTAAAACAGAATGCACAACATTATTCATATATATATATACACATATATCAATGTGATTTTGTCTCTTTCTTTTTTCCACGACTCGAGAATGTCTGGGTGAGCAACGCTCGGTGCCCCTGGATTGGCGGCGCGCACAAGGGGGTGGGAGGAAGGGGGAAGGCTTCTTAGGAGGCTGATTCTTAGAAGGCGCCGGCCCTACATCTATAGATGAGGCCCGAGCCTTCTAAGGAGCAGGGGTGCTTCTAAGAAGCCCCCCCCTCCTCCTTCCGCTCTGGTGCGCGTGGCTGAGTGGATCTCCGGCCCGCCAACCAACGGCGATCGAACCCCGCGCCGCCTGGAAGGTATGCTCGCGCTCGGCCCACCTGCGCACATCGGAGAGGCCGAGCGGGCGGAGTGCAAGCCGGAGAGGGCGAGAGAGAGAGAGAGAGACACGACACTCGCCCCCGACCGCAGAGCCTCCCTCCTCCTCCTCCTCCTCCTCCTTTTCTTCCTCATCCTCCTCCTCTTCCTCCTCCTCCTCACCTCCTCCTCCTCCTTCTCCTCCTCCTCCTCCTCCTCTTTCTCCTCTTCCTCCTCCTCCTCACCTCCTTTTCCTCCTCCTCGTCCTCTTGTTCCTCCTCCCCTTCCTCCTTTCCCCCCTCCTCCCCCTCCTCCTCCAAGTTCATCCTCTCTTCCTCCTCCTGTGGAGCGTCCTCCTCGTCCTCTTACTTCCCTTCGTCTCCTTCTCCGCACACAACGTCGCGGCGACAATTTGTCCTCTGCTTCGGCCTGTGGGGCCCTGTTCCGAGCCCCGGGTACGTCAGCAAAAACGAAACACAGGCCCCCAGATGCCGCACAACAAAACACCGTACAGTCGGATGTTTAGGTCTCGCACTCCTTCCTTCCTCTTGACTTTTCCCCCTGCTGCTCCGTCGGGATCGTTGCCGCAGGCCGCCGCAAATTCCCCAACCGCCGACCTGTTCGAAACAGTCGGCGTGGCGTCGGGATCCACCCGCGTGGGCTTGGGCTCGCAGAAAATTTTTGCATTGTGGAGGTTCACGCTACGCCGCGTAAATTACGTGGTGTAAGGTATGTCGTGTAAGCTATGTGAAATGAACCATGGAGGTGAAAGCTACGCGATGTCACATGTGTGTTGTAAGCTACGTCGTGTAATTAATTTTTGGGAACCTGGGAATTGTCAAATCCACTGCTCTCGCAGCCGTCCTACCCGCCCGCCCAAAACTTGGTTTGCAAAACCCATGCGGCGGCGATTGCGATGAGTGCTTGGTGCTGGCTGGTGTATCTCTCTACGGCCGCGCTAGCCCGTAAATGCGCGCGCAGCGGCCAGCTAATTTGGCGCGACCGAGGCGGTCGCGGTGGCGGTCGCCGCTGGGCACTGCCCAGCGCGTCTCGCAAGCCGCGTTGACGCGCGGGCACTTCAATACGAGTCGGTGACTTGGGCGGGCGCGGTATGATGGTGCGTCGACAACGGTAAGCACGATGAAGATGATGATGATGACGAAGATGAAGCTGATGATGATGATGATGATGATGATGATGATGATGATGATGATGATGATGATGATGATGATGATGATGATAGGGGCCGTGCTAATAGCGATGATGATGACGATGGGGCGATCAAAAACGGCAAGTCTATGACGGCATGGATGATGATCGCGACGACGACGATGATGGTGTCCTCGCGTCGGTGATGAAGGTTTTGGAACGATTTCGACATGCGCGCGCGGCCGACGCGCGCGAATGGCACGCATAGTATTATTTGACAGGGACCGTGCCCCCGCAGCACGCGCGCAAGGGCGTCCGAATGATTTCGACATGCGCGCGGGAGAAGCCTGTTTGGTAGAATTGGATGCACAAAGGTTGAACCACCCATGGTTGTCACAATAATTCGCAAGAGCGCGCGCAGATTTTTCTATATTGAAGCTGATGCTACAAAATTATATTTCCAGTGTTTCGGGCACTCATTTCGGCATGCGCGCGCGAAGGGCTTTTGAACATAATCTGTTTTCGATCAGCGAATGTGCGCGCATAGTGCATGTTGCAGAAGATTGTTGTAGTGGATGGGGGGGGGCGATGCCGGCTGGTCTGGGATGATATGAATTCATCGTTAGAATGAACGATGGGGCCGAAACGCATGTGCATTGCAGATCAAAGATGCGGGCGGATAATCCTCCGGGGGGGGGGGGGGGGGGCGGGTGGTAGACCATTATGTATATATATATGCATAAGATTAAACGTGGTGTGTGCTGGAGTGGGAGCTATGCGGTGTAAACTATGTGGTGTCATATTTGCGGTGTAAGCTGTGAACCATGCCGACTAACAAGTTGCGTGGTGTGAGCTCAGCGCACGGGGTGCCCGCGAGCGCCCGCGAGGCGTCGCGGGCGGCGACGTGGTGCGACCTCGGCCGACCCGTCAAGCCTTGGGGCGCCCGCGAGCGCGCGCGCGGCGGCAGCGTGGCGCGACCCTGGCCGACCCGCCCAGCGCGCGGGGCGCGCCCGCGAGCGCGCGCGAGGCGGCGACGTGGCGCGACCTCGGCCGGCCCGCCCAGCGCGCGGGGCGCCCGCGAGCGCCCGCGAGGCGGCAGCCTGGGAGATCCTCGGCCGACAAGTGGAAATTGCTTGCGGAATGGAGGTGGGGCGCCCAAAGTGCAAGCGCTGCTTGGGGAACCGACGAACGAGATCTGCTTCGGTCTCCTGGCCGTCGTCCGCTCCTCCACTCGGGTTCGGCTCCCCCGGGCCCCTCCAGTGCGCCGTCGTGGCAACCTCTTCGAATCGCGCGCGGCGGTGCCGACGAGGGCCCCGCGCGTTCTCAGCAGCAAGCAGTGATGCCAGCGCGCGGCCCCCAAGCATTGGATTCTGGAGCAGCGCGCGAGGCCGCGCGGGTCCACGGGGGGCCAACCCAAAGAAGGCCAAGCGGCCGCCAGAAGGCGCGCGGCAGCCAGGCCTGGTGGGGCGAGACGCACGAGGGAAGCCGCATGAGTCCAAACCGCAGGAGGCCAAGGAACGCCAACAGCACACCATAAACCGCGCGACAACGAGACCCTGTCTTTTTCAACCCGCGTGGCAGCCCCCAGCCGCAGACACGGTTTGAGGAACGATGCGCTGAACGCGAGCGAGCGTGCCTGACGCTCGTTTCTTGGTCCTCTCCCATGTGATTGTGTGTGTCTGTGTGCGTGTGTGTGTGTGTGTGTGTGTCTGTGTGTGTGTGACCGTGGCCTTGGCTCAAGGCCGCGAGCGGGCCCCCTCCTCGGAATCTCCCGCGCTCAAGGGGGCGCCCGACGCAAGGTGCCCGTGCCCCGCGCCCGCGCCGCCCGGCCCCCGCGGCCGCCGCCCGGGCCCCCCCTGCTGGCGTGGCCGCTACCTCCCCGACCCGGCGGGTCCGCTGCTATGGTTCTTCAAGTGTTGGTGCAACTGTTTGCTGCTTCCCCCGTGGCTTCCTCCCAGCGCTGGCCTGTCGTCTTCTCCCCCGACCCCCGCGGGCCTAGTGCCAGCCCCGAGCAGAGACAACGGTTTCAATGCTGGCGATGCTCGTGCGCGCGCTAGGCAAGGACCTCGGACGGATGGTGGGCGTGGTATTGCGACCTGGGCGACACCGTCCAAGGCAAGAGCCACTTCACCGAAGACAAGCACAAGAAGGCCCTCAAGCACTACGCGGGTGCACTCCCCGACCCGACTGAGTGGGCCGGCGGCGGCGAGGTCTGGGACTGCCCGCTAGCCGGCGGCCCCGTCAAGGAATGCTCGGGCTGGCTGATTGACCCCTCCGCTGTGCTCGATGGCCAAACGGTGCATCTGTGGGATTTCGTTGAGGACGACTGGGGCGCCGTCCCTATGTCTTGCCCCCCTTATCAGGGCATCCGCAGGCTGGCTCCCCCCCGACTGCCCTGGCTGGGACATTGACGCTGTTCGCCGTCCGTTGGCCGGCGGCAGCGGCGCCGAGCACTCGAGGGGCAGGCCCGGTCAGGAGCAGGCCCGCGCCGCCCTCCGGGCCCTCTCGTCGACCCCCCCCCCCGCCCCGCCGCCGCCGCCGTCGCGTCTGGGCAGCCGCGGGCCGAATGCGCCAGCCGTGGGCCCTCGCGCCCCGCAGCAGGAGAGCGGACCTGAGTCTTCCCGCTTGCCTGGGTTCGACCCGCCCAGCAGGCCGGGCACCCCGCCCCCCCCGTCAGCCGCGCCGCCCGGGGCCTCCCTGCAGATTCCAGCGAAGGCGCCCCTCTGCCTACGGGCCGCCCGCGCCGCACAGGACATCTACTCCTGCCTGTGGCATGCGCCCCCAGCGCAGCTCATCCGGCGACCCGTTGGCCCCGCCCCCGGTGCCCCCCCCTGCCCCGCAGGTGGATATGGGACTTCCAGGCCAAGGGGTGGAAGTTATTCCATATCTACGTGGTTGAGCTCGTGGCTGGCCTGGGGCCTGAAGACGACGGCTCGCCCAGGGTGCGCAGCGAGCTTCGCGGAGGGGCATCGCGCGCCCTCGATGTTGTCATTGACATGTATAGCCCCAACGCTCCGCACCAGGTCGTGCGCGAATGGGGCCCCGGCGAAGGATGAATGACCGCCGGGAGGGCGAATGGGAATGCCGCGCCCTGTCCTGGTAAGGCGACGAGCGCATCGATTGGACCAGAGAGGATCTCAAAGAGCTCGCGCTTTTAGTCTTTCGGCGCTCCCCCATCGCCTGCCGCCCTTGTGAGGCGCGGCCGATCTGGCCCCTCTCCCCTGGCGCGTGCGCAGATGATGTGCCTGGCGCCGGGCGCCCCGCGAACTGCAGCATCATTGGCCTCGACGCCGGGAAGAAGCGCGCTATGCGCCCTGGCGATTCTCCCTACGAGCGCCCCTTTGCAGGCGAGGGGTGGCGCCGCGTGGACAAACGGCCAGGGCGGACGCAATCGCGCAGGGTCTGGGCCGCGGTGCAGCGGCTGTTTATGCTCGAGGTTCAGCCCGACGAACTGACGGGGATCCCAGTGCACATCACCCCCTACCTCGTGGCCTGCCGCGCTACCCCGGCAGCTGACAAGGCCAGCGTCAAGACCGCAGTGCAGCTGATGGATGTAGGGGGTTGCCTGAGAGCACGTGCTGCAGCCGCCCTCAATCTTCGCGTTCCTGACCCCGGCGGGTGCCCGGCAGCCTCGGGCGGTGCGCCCCTAGGAGACGCGGAGGTGGAAGAATGGCCTGGAAGTGTCTTCCAGCGCCCGCCCCCCCCCGCCAGCCCCCCGCCTGGCCGACGACGCTGCCGAGCGGCGCGGTCTAAACGGGCCACGGTCCAGGGTGCCTCGCAAGTCCCTCGACGCAATGGCCCTCCTCGTCCATGGGCTCCCATGGCGCGGGCAAGACCAAGACCGTGGCGGCGTTGGTCGACCTCTGGGTGGTCTGCGCGCCGCAGAACCGCTCTGTCGGGCTGTTCTCAGGCTCCAACAAAGGTGCTGACATGCCCGCGAAGTGCCTCGCTGATGCCCACCGAGCCAGAAAATAAACGAGGGCCGCAGCTTATCCGAGGCCGCCGTCAGGCCGGCCAATCCAGACAAGGACGCCAACTTCGCTGCCCGTGACCCAACCCAAACCGAGCGCAACAGGAAGAACAATGACATGGCTCTCAGCGACATAGGCCCCAAGGCCGTCACCCGTGAGAGGAGGCAAACACATGCCAGCGCCCGGCTTGTGTTGGCCGCGCTCGAACTGGGTGCGGAACTCGCCAACCCCGACAACCTGAGGCCGCAGATGGCCAGCTTAGACGAGGCCGGGCGGTCCACCGAGCCCCTGGCAGCCATCCCCCGGTCTGTCGCTGCCTGATGCGGCGGCCGCCTAGTGCAGTGTGGAGACGAGAGCCAATTGCGCCCCGCGGTCGTGTCCTCCCGTGCGGAATCACTCGGCCTAGGGATCTCGATGCTCGCCCGCTTCCACGGTTCCCTTCGGGCGGCAGACCATTGCAAAGTATTGCTTAGCCCGTGCTACCGCGTGCGCCCCGGCATTCTCCGGTGGGCGTCTGCCACCTCTTACGAGGGGGAACTTGTCTCCAGTCTGGCTGATCCACTGGCGCATAGGCCGCCCATCGATGGGGCCCCGCGACCCCCCCCCAGACGACGACAACGACCCCATCCACGTCGGGGCCCAAGGCTTCTGCAACCCCCGATGCGGGGCCCAGCCGGGCGACTCCATGCGGGTCTGAATAATTTAAGCACAATCTGCTGAACTGTCCCCGGACCCCCCTGTAGAAGGCACTGCCAACCTACGGGGGGCCGCGACCGACTGCGACATCGTCAAGACCATCGATGGTTATTTGCTGGCCGCTGGCAAGCGCGTCCCGATCGTTTGCGGGTGCCGCGCTCAAATGGCATTCGCTGGGTCTGGATGGCCCGCCGACGCCCGTGCCTTCTTTGCGCGTGCCATGACGAAGGGGGGGAGAAGGGCACGGCTCCCCGGGGCGCCTCGTCTCACTCTCGCGCCTCTACCCCGCGGGGCCATCGCCCCACCAAAGGCTCCGAGAAAGGCGAAGCCCCGCCCTCCAGACTGGTCTTTGGTCGGCGCCCCCGCGCTGAACTCAATGGCATGGGGCTCTCCTTCCACGGGGTCGAAGCAACCTGCCCCCGCCTGGTCGAGCGGGGCCCAGTCGGCGTGTCCACCATTGACGGGGTCCAGGGACCCTGTACTGCCCGCGCGAAGTCCACAGAGCAATGGGGATTAGTGGATGGCCCCCGCCACATCAACGTCGCCTTCGCTCGCGAGCTGGACGGCGTCATCGTGGCGCTGAACGCCAGGATGGCAGCTGCGGCAGCGGAGCCCCAACTTCACGTCCGCGCATAGTGGGCGGAATCAGTTGGGCTCTGGACCAGCTTCGCAGGGGCCCCAGGCAAGCGAGACGCGCTCAGCGAGACCCCTGGTTTCTCACCAGCCAAAGTACGGGCGGACCCAATCGGCTCCCGCGCCCCGCTGCCCTCCCTTGAGGAGCAGGTGCGATTGGCGACGGAATGCGACCGCCGCGCGGACGAGCGAAAGTGCCAGCGGATTGCTGACCAGCGGCGCCCTCTGCTTCCAGACCCTGTGCGACTCCCTACTTCCCCCTGGACACACCTGAGAGAGGATGAGCGAAGAACTACGAGAGACGGGCGCGCAAGTGCTGAGCGACCACGCCCTTGCCGCGGTGCTATATCACGTGCTCAGCCTCCGTCCTCCTGTGTGCGGGCTGGGGGGCTCGCCTACTGACCTCTTTGAGCAGTGCCGGAAACTGGGTAGCCACGACGGGTGCTTGTGCGACAGCGAACTGGGCTTAGACGCCTCCAACCACGTCTACACGGCGGCCTGGGCAAGCACGCAGCGCAGGTCTGCGGCTCATTTTTGACCCGGACCGCGCCATGACCGCGGACCGCCTGGAGGCGGGACGCTGCGAGAGCCAATGAAAAAGACGGGTTGACCACCCCCCCGCGGGCACTGTCAGGCCCCCCCCAGCCGCTTGGAGTACAACAACATGCGAATGCAAGCGCCATCAGGGGCCACCCACGTACCAGCACCTCGCTGCCCTCATTCGGCTCCGTGAACAGCAACATGAAGCCTTCTGCGGTTCGCTCAAAGATAATGTCGGGTCCCACATCCCGCGCCCGTGGGCCAGCGCGACCCTGGTGCTGATGCTCCTGTTCATCAGGGAACCTCGCCCCACTCTTGCCCCCTACGGGGGCCCCATTCACACCGGCGACATTCTTGAAGCCACCGCGGGCCTGTGCCTCCCATGCAATAGCGCGCGCCTGCCTGTGCGTGCCAGCTTTGGGTGGGCGCGCAACCTTGCGGATGGGGACTCCTGTCGGCTCCACGTCCACGGCCCGGGCCGCCTCGAGACCTTGATCAAAGCATGCTCCAGGCTCGTTGCTGTCGCTCATCGCCACCCCGACATAGCTGGGGCGCACACTTGCGCCACCTGGAAAGACGCCTCTGCTGGCGACTTCCCCTGAAGCACACCCTCCAGGCCCTCGGCATCCTGGCAACCCCCGCGGACCTCTCCAGCCTCCAGGCCCATCGCTGCGCTGTCTGCCCCCTTTCGCAAGCCCTTCTCGGGTCCTCCGTGGGCTTGTTATCCGAAAACCACGTGTCCACCGCCTCGCAATGCCTTGAAGGAGGGCTGTCTGGGGCTGGCACGGACCTCTTCGCGGGCCCCCCGACGGGCGCGCTACCTGGCGTCGCACTGTCCCCGCCCCTTCTCCAGGGTGGGGGCAGCCGCCTCCGCCCCACCGTGCAGGCCCCCCGTATCTTCTGCGACCAATGTGGGAAGGGTCCATTCGATCCCCAGCAAGAGACGTGTGGCACGTGGGTGGGCTCCACCATCAGGAGAACCGTTGCCGCCAACCGGCCCCGGCCGCCGCGGCCTGGCCCCTCCCCGAGCGGGCCCGGCTTCCGTCTCCTGCCCGCGCCAGGCCTTCTCCCCGCCCCCCTCGCGTGCATTGCGGCTTAATTCGCACATATATGCCCTACATGTGCGTCAACCGCCAGCGCAACCAATCTGCCTAATTAGCTAGCCGCCGAGTGAAAAACGTGTGTGTGTGTGTGTGTGTGTGTGTGTGTGTGTGTGTGTGTGTGTGTGTGTGTGTGTGTGTGTGTGTGTGTGTGTGTGTGTGCGTGCGTGCGTGCGTGCGTGCGTGCGTGCGTGCGTGCGTGTGTGTGTGTGTGTGTGTGTGTGTGTGTGTGTGTGTGTGTGTGTGTGAGGGGCAACGATAGGGGGGGACTGGCATAGGGGGGATGCATCCACCTGGAATCGGCGATGCATCGCCGACTGATTGGCGATAGGCCTCCGATAGTGAATCCGCACCTTACTGGGCAGGCTGGGGCTATCGGGCCCCTATTGGCGATCAGTGCGCAATTGGGGGTCGATGCGTCCCCCCTATGCCTATCCCCCCCTTATCGTTGCCCCCGAGTGTGTGTGTGTGTGTGTGTGTGCACTTCCCGCTGCCTCGCTGCCCTGGCGCCACTCCCTGCCACCGCCCCGTGAGGGGCTTGCCTCTCTGTCTTGTCTTTTCTTCCCGACTGCGGCGCGCTCGGCCGCTGGCCGCGCGCCCAACGGTGTGGCGAGGACGCGTGTCGAAAAAATGTTCTAGAGTGCGAAAAGTTATCGGTTGTAGGTCAGAGAGGAGACCGACCTCAGTCCTCTAGAGGCTCCAGGCTGTTAGCGCTATCGACGCTGCTGAACCGACTCCTGTGACTGAGAGCTCTATAGCTGCGTCATCAAATCCAGAAACTCGCCCAACCGCAACGCCCGAACATGTGTTTTTATTGATCATCTCGCCCGCGTCCCTGTTCGAACGTGCACACAGACTCTCCAGCGCGCCGCAGGAAAACAAACACACCTTGTCCCCGGTGTTGTTCAAACTGCGCACGACAACGGCCGCTATACCTTGGGCCGCCTCCCCCCTTGCCCAGACATCCAACGTCGTGTCTTTTCACAACGTTCGGCGGCGAGCGAGGGGGGGAAGTGAGAAGGAGAAGGCCTTCTCAGAAGGTGGCGGGGCTTCTCAGAAAGCCTTAGGCCTTGTGAGCGTTTTTTTTTTTTTTTTTTTGTGTGTGTGTGTGTCTTCGGGGAAGGCTTAGAAACGTTATCAGATGGCCTGGGGACTTCCGATCCTTCTGAGAAGGCCCGCCCCTCCTCATTTCCCCCTAGGCTCGCCGCCGAAACGTGGCTCCCCAGAGGCCTGGGCGCCTTTCACGGAACCAACTCTTCAGCCCGAGCCGTTTCTTGTTGACGGTCCCGGGGCCCGGGGCCGGCCCCAGGAAGCCGCAAGTGGGCAGAAACCTTCCGTCGCGCCATCTTTCGCGACGAAGATCGTGACGCGCTGGCGATGCATCGTCGACGTCGGCGATGCATCGGCGACGTCAACGTGAAGCAAATCGGGCCCCACATCGAGCTGCATCGGCGATGCATCGGCGATGCGGCGCGATCCTCCGACCCCATCTACAGTCGGGCCTAGGCCAAAAGAACATCCCTCAAGAACATGAGACCCTCCGCCGGCCGAAACAAACAGAACAGCCAAGGGTACCCTCCCCAGGATGCACAGGAACATCCAACAAACACGAGAAACACCAGGGTACCCTCCCCGAGCCGACCTTCTTATACCTCAGTCCGACAGAACTCCGACCCCTACCCGGGGGGCCTAAGCCCTCCCCCTGAGATCCGACGCGGCTACAAAAATTGCAACATCGCAGAAGATCACGACTGGAGTCCCTGAGGACCCCATCTTCCAGCACCATTTCACGAGCCGGATCGACCTGTAAGGGTCCTGGGGCCCGAAACTGGGCGGAAACGCCCGGCTCCCAAAACAATTGAATCGCCAAGATCCAAACCAAAAGGTACCGATACTGCTACTCCCCAGGCCTCTCCTGGGGTGCGTTCTGGCCAGAGTTTCGAAGCGAATCCAGCGGTGGCGACGAAGGCCTCCCAGGAGGCCCAAGAAGGGGACAACGAGGGGAAGGCAATGGTACGGATACCCAGACCCGCGACGTCATGATTTTTTCATGACGTCGGTCCCTAGAGGTCTCGACCCATCCCCCATGACCGGCTTTTCATCCTGACTTGTTTTTTGACGGTCCAGACAGTCGGGGCCCCTGGAGGCCGAAAATGGTGAGAAACCTCCCGTCGTGATTTTTGCATGACTCGAGGGGGTCTGGGTACCCTGCTCTCCTCTGAGACTAGAGTTCCCCAAAATTGAATCGCCAGGATCTCAGGGGAGGCCCAGGCCCCCGGGAGCGGCCAAGGGCCGCCAGAGCTCCGGGGAGGAGCGGCCGCCCGGGGCCAAGACGACGCCAGGAGGAGGAGGAGGAGGAGGAGTAGGAGGAGGAGGAGGAGGAGGAGGAGGAGGAGGAAGAGGAGGAGGAGGAGGAGGGAGGGGGGGGGAGAGAGGAGAGGAGGAGGAGGAGGAGGAGGAGGAGGAGGAGGAGGAGGAGGAGGAGGAGGAGGAGGAGGAGGAGGAGGAAGAGGAGGAGGAAGAGGAAGAGGAGGAGGAGGAGGAGGGAGGAGGAGGAGGAGGAGGAGGAGGGAGGGGGGGGTAGAGAGGAGGAGGAAGGAGGAGGAGGAGGAGTAGGAGGAGGAGGAGGAGGAGGAGGAGGAGGAGGAGGAGGAGGAGGAGAAGGAGGAGGAGGAGGGAGGGGGGGGGAGGACGACGACGGCTCACGAACGACCCCGTCCGTGGCCTTGCACCCTCCGGGCATCGGGGAGGTGCACGCGGGTGCGGCGCGCCTCCTGTGCACGGCGGTCATGTGCTGCCGGAGGATACCTTGCTCGCCGTTGCCCCCCCCAACTTGTGCACGGGTGCGTGGGGATGCGGACGCGGACGCTCGCACATGCGAAGGCGCGCGTGCAGGCGCAGGCACAAGCACAATCGCGCGAACACGCATTCGCCCGCTCGCGCGCACGCGTTCAGGCGCACGGGCCCGGAGACGCAGAGGTGCACAGACGCACACACGCAGACGACGCACACACGACCACGCATAATTACATTTACCTCACCAGCCATGCGCGTTGCGGTATGATGGGCGGAACAGAATCCCAACACATAAGCGCCCGCAAACAGACTTTTTTGGCGTCGCGGCCGCGCGCGGGCTGGGCCACGCAAACACACACAACCACATTCAACGTACTCTGTCCTCCGACGCTGTAAACAATCGCAATCGCGGGTCCAGCGGTGGCGGGTCACGGTCACGGCAAATCAAAACGACCACCTTGTGTTGGAGCGTGCGTTAGCCCGGTGCTCTCGGGTAAGAGGCGCAATCTAAGCAGGCTGGTGTGAAATATATACGCGAATGTGAATTCTGGTCAGTGGCATGCTGCGGTGGCATCCAGGCGAGATGCAGCTAAGCGGCCTTTCAAGCTGGCAAACAGAACCTCAAGGCTGGCGACAAAATCTGTTATTGACACTGGTCGGGGAATCTAATGTTCGACAACGTCGAATGACCAAACGCCTCACGCCTCACTTCGCACAGCTACCGCAGAAACGGTTCAGCACGCGAAGCATGCGGCCGAGCCCGGCGAAAACTTAGCCACGGAACGGGCAGACCAGGGGGCTGGAAGCGACACAGGACGTCCAGCACTAGCGACAGGCTCGGGGCACCCTCATAAGCACAAGTCGAACAAGGAATGGACAAGGAATGGAGCTGACCTGCGCGCGCGGCTGAAGCGGATCACCGTCCAAAGACCGTCATATCATGGGACTTCGGTAGCGAAATAAATTCTGCGAGTGAGGTGACAACCGGTCGATCATGCATCGAAGCTGACAAGCGCAAATTTAAACACACACACACACACGCAAACAAGCACGCAAACACATCAACACATCAACACAACAATACATTCACACATTCGCAGACACGCATATCCATACACACACACGGAGCACATGACCATACACACACACACACTCACGTAAACAGCACGTACACACACTAGCACTCACTCGCAGAACGATGCAAGTACACGCAAGCACACGAACTCACAACCGAGAGCAGGCATACGAGGTACAGCAGGTACACGAAGTAACTACCCACATTAACATCATATTCACCACCCCTCTGCCACCGTGCCCCTGTGGCACGAAGTGGGCGTCCCCAGGTCCCTTGCTCAACCCCTGAGCCCCAGTCCTCAATCCTGAGGATTCCGTGAGGACCCGGACCCCAAATTCACAAATCTCCTGGGGCTTCCCTCGTGCCTCCTGGGGCGCGTCGCGGCTTCTCGCGTGACTTTTCCGAGGCCAGGAAGGCTCGAAGACGTGTCAAGAGGACCCCAAGAAGCTCCTCAAGACGGTTCAAGGGCGCGCGCAGAATCGCCGAACCATCGGTCCAAGACGCCCAAGATGGCCCAGAGACGGCCCAATAAGCCTTCGAGACGCGCCAAGAGAGCCCCAAGAGCCTTCCCAAGAGGGCCCGACAAGCAAACATCATAGATTTGCCTCATGTTTTTTTCAATGTTTTCGGGGTTCTCGCATTTTGGAGCTTCCAACGCCTCATTACGGCCGAAGAGGCCCCCAAGACTGCCCGAGGCCCCCAAGAGGGCCCCAAGACGGCCCGAGAGGGGTCCAAGACGTCCCAAGAGGGCCCCATGAGTGGCCCAAGAAAGGGAGCACGACCTCACAGAAACCGAGCCTTCTGCCCCGAGAGGCCCCAGGAGGCCCCCAGAGACTCTCAGGAAGCACCAAGAGGCTCCCAAGAGCCCCCCAAGAGGTCCTCAAGAGGCTGCCAAGAGGCCCCCAAACTGCCCAAGAGGCCCCCAGAGCGCTCCGAAGAGACCCCAAGAGGCATCCCTCAGGACTCTGACTCACAACCCGGGAAAGGTGGCGGAATGGGCCGAAAGCCATTCTGTAGACAATAATTTGAGAACGCGCGCAATCCAGCACGCATACGCACGCACTCGCCCATCCCATCTGACCACCTGCCGCTGTGAGGCGAGTGCTTTTCCCTGTGGCATGGTTCACCATGATAGGGACGTCTATATATATATAGATACATATATATACACACATATATATATACACATGTATATTTGCACACACGTATACATGTGCACATTCATTTATGTATAGATATGCATGTACCAACAAGGCATATCAGTATACATTGTATGAACACTTGTGTATGTGTATGCATCTCTCTCCTTTTTTTTTTTTTTTTTTTTTTTTTTTTTTTTTTTTTTTTTTTTTTTTTTTTTCTCTCTCTCTCTCTCTCTCGCTCTCTCTCTCTCTCTTTCTCTCCCTCTCTTTCTCTTTTTCGAAGCACAGAGGTGTGTATCTGCCATCGTGCCCTCGCGGCACGAGCCGGAGTGTCATCAGTTCCCCTGCTGGATCCCAGTCCTCAATCCCTAGGAATCTTCAAAAAATTGCCTGGACCCCAAATTGCCAAACCTTCCGGGGCTTGCCGCGTGGCCTCTCGGGCCCGTGGCGTCTTCTCGCGTGACCCTCTCGGCCCCAAGAGGCCCCAAGAGGGGCCAAGAGGGCCCCAAGAGGCTTCAAAGACGGTCTAAGGGGGCACCGAAATGCCGAAAGATCGCTCCAAGACGCCTGAGATGGCCTCAAGACGGCCCATGATGCTCCCAAGACGCCCGAAGAGGCCTCCAAGAGGCCTCCTGAGAGGATCCCAAGAGGAAACAATCTTAGATGTCCCTTAAGTTTTGGACGGATTTTGGCGTTCTCGCCTTTTCGGCTTCCCGACGCGCCCGGACGGCCCAAGAGGCCCCCAAGATCGGGCAAAATCGACTTCAAAACGGCCCAAGAGGGCCCCAACGCCGCCCAAGAGGCGCCCACATATTGCCCAAGAGGCCCCGAAGACGGCTCAAAGAGGGGGACCCGAACGGACATTTCGAGCCATCGGCCAGGAGGCCCCAAGATGCCCTTAAGCGGCCGCCGAGGGGCCCCCAAGAGACCCCTGGGAAGCCCTACGAGGCCCCAAGGAGCCCCCCAGAGGCCCCCCAGGGTGCCCCCCAAAGGCCCCGAAACTGCCACAAGGAGGCTCCCGAGAGCGCTACGACGAGACCCCAAGAAGCATCCCGCCGGACTCTGACCCGCAACCCAGGTACGGTGGCGGGATAGGCCGAAGGCCAATCCATACTTACAGATATACATATATACATGTACATTTGTATACATATGACACATATATATAATATGTAGTTCTAAATATAATAGAGATAAAGGCATACACATCGATCGATCGGTGTACATATATATATATATATATATATATATATTTATACATATGGACACATGTATGTATATATATATATATATGTATATATACATATATCAGTTTTTATGCATATACGGACATCCATATATATAGAGAGAGATAGATAGACGTGTATATATCTCTCTCTGTATGAGTAGGCATATATACAGACATATAGCTGCTGCATGTCTTCTCCAAATAAGCTTGCTCTCTAGGAGTTCTAACTCAAACCCTACTAATTGGTCCGTTGCCCCCCCTCCCCCTAATTCCTATGCCCCCCCCTAATTCCTATGGCTATGTCTATGCTTATGCCTTTGCCTCCCCCCTAACTTGTATGCCTACGCCTATGCCTATGCCTATGCACCACCTCTGAGCGCTCCTATGAATCGCTTGCCCTTGCTTGCTCTTGCGTGCTTTTGCTTGCTTGCTCTTGCGTGCTTGCTATCGTTTGCTTGCTCTTGCTTGCTTGCACTTGATCGCTGGTTCTTGCTTGCTTGTTATTGTTCGCTTGCGCTTGCTTGCTTCCGCTTGCTTGCTTGCTCTAGCTCGATTTTGCTCCTCCCGTCCTGCTCCCGTCCTCGTTTCGTCCTCCTCCCGTCCTCCTCTCGCGCTCCTCCTGTCCTCCGATCTATTTGGAACCAACGCTAGCTGGTACTTCCACATCTACTTCTATACACATATATGTATGTATATGTTATATATATGTGTGTGTATGTGCACATATGCATAGAAAGAAGTCAATCCACTACGACACCGTGCCAACGAAGAAACACGACAAGGAATTAATCAATCTTACTCGTCTTTTACTCCGCGTGCAATGCTCGTCCCTGCCGCGCTTCGACGCGCTCGTGGTCCAGGCCCAGCTGCTGTAGTTGCTCTGCACGAGGTTGTTGTTCATCTCGATCACCCTTGCCTGCCGGCCGCCGCATCGCCGCCGCCGCTGCCGCTGAGGTTCTTGCTCGGCGTAAGCCAGAACCCACAGCCTCGTGTGTCTTGGTGGTCTCAACACGTGCGGGAGCCCAATGCTGCTCTGCCACCGCACCCTCGTGGCTCGGCCCTCTTGTCCTGGACGGCGGCCTCGAGACACACGCGCGTCGTCCACGCCTGCTCCGTGCTTGGCCCTGGGTGTGTCCGTCCCGGGTCACTTCGGGTCTCGAGCTGATGACAGAACGCTTTGCGAAGATCACTTGCAAACGGAGTGGGGCGGCATGCCCTCAAAGTCCAGCCCTCACTGGGAGTCTGAATCGGATGGCGGCTTCTCGGCCAGCGAGGCAGATGAGCAGAAATCACACACCCATGACATAAATACGGTCGGACCTGGAAAATAATAACAGCCTTCAAGAACGTGAGACCCTCCGCCAGCCTAAACTGAAAAACATTCGAGGGCACCCTCCCCCAGGATGCACAAGAACATCCAACGGACACGAACACCATCAGGATACCCTTGCTGAGCCGACCTCGATCTTGTACCTTTGTCCGACCGTACGTGCACTTGCGCACCCCACGCTTGTTGTGTCTTCGGGGACGGCTTCGAACACTTCTCAGAAGGCCGGGGGACTTCCGAGCCTTCTGAGAAGGCCTTCTCCTTCTCACTTTCCCCCCTCGCTCGCCGCCGAGCATGGGCTCATGCCGTTCCCCGACGACTCCTGGGAGCTACCAGGGCGCCTTTTTCAGCGCCGCGCCCCCCCAAAATGGCCTGCCCCTGGCCGCCCCGGACCGGGGACTTCGTGCGACGTGTCCTCCTCCGACGCCGCGGCCTCCTCACGATGTGGGGGCCCAAGGGCCCCGCGACCCAGACTTCTCGCACACCGCACGGCTCGCCATGGTGCCACCGCAGGGACCGCCGAGTGAGGAACCGCGGGGGCTCTTCTGGCCACGGCGAGCCTCGGCCACGGATGGGCTCCCACGACCCGGATCTCGGGACCGGCCCGGCAACACGGAGCCCTTCCTGAGCCCAAGGGGGTCCTTTTCCTTCGGCGCCTCGACCGTACAAGGGCGGCCTTCTGATCGCCGCATCGGCCGAATTTTGTCGCGCGTTGGCCGCCGCGGACCGGGGGAGCTTCGTGCGGGAGGCCCCTCTCCAACGCCGCGGGTTCCTCACGACGTGGGGGCCCAGGGCCCCTCGACTCGTACAGTCAACGCGTATCATAAGGATGCACGGCAAGGATGCAGAGGGCCTTGGGAGGCCGTCTCGAAGCTTTTCGAGGGGGGCGTGGCCAACGAAAGTGGCCAAGGATGGACCGAGGAGGGAAGAATGCAAGGGTACCCTTGGGAAGGTTGGCGACCTCTTTCTAGCGGTGACCCCCCTGGCATGCTATGACCCCTGCCCTACTTCCCCCGCCCCGAGGCGCTGGAGCGTCCAGAATGGTCCAGGACGGCTCCGGTACAGTCCCAGGTGCCCAGCACGGTCTCTACGATTGTGCAAGAAAGGATGATGATAAGGAGGAGGAGGAAGAGGAGGAAGAGGAGGAGGACCAGTGTAAACCCAAGAGTCAGCAACGATGCTGGAATAAACCCTCCTTCTAAATTCCCTCTTCGTAAGCTCCTACAGCGGTTCATCTCCACTGAGGGAACTGCCTCGTCGGAAGACAACCGTTTGAAGATCCTGCAGCATGCAAAAACATGAGTCTCGGGATTCCAACGCCACATATCAACTTGACTGTTGCGTCTTGACGAGCCTGAATCGTGCCAGAACGCCATTCCTGGGACTTCAACACCGCGAATCAAAGTAACTGTTGCACCCGCATGATCCCCAATCTTTCCAAAACACAATTTCTGGTACGTTGGTCATGGGAATCCGTAAAACTCTGGTGCATTTTATAAACGAAGGTGCGCGGCGCTAAAACGAGAACCGCATTTTGAAAAGGAGCCGCCCTCAATTCGTGAAGCTCTTGCAAATGTGAAACGAATGTACGCGACGCCAAAGCGAGAACCCCATTTTGAAAACCAGCCGCCCTCAACCCGTGAAGGTCTTGGAATTTTTGAAAATGAATGTGCGAGGCGCTAAAGCGAGAACCACATTTTGAAAACGGACGCCCTCAATCCGTGAAACTCTTGCAAATTTTGCAAGCGAATGTGCGCGGCGCTAAGCGAGAACCACATTTTGAAAACCAGCCGCCCTCAATCCGTGAAGCCATTGCAAATATTTGAAAACGAGTGTGCACGGCGCTAAGGCGAGAACCACATCTTGAAAACCAGTCGCCATCAATCCGTGAAGCTCTTGCAAATTTACAAACGGATGTTCGTGGTGCTAAGGCGAGAGCCACATGTTGAAAACCACCCGCCCTCCATCTGTGAAGCTGCTGCCAATGTTTAAGCTTCAGGGTCATTAAGGGCTGGGAAATCTCAAGCGAAATGCTGAACCCGCCCGAAAAACTGGCCTCGGGGTGCGACAGGGCATAATCATTCATAAGGAAAAAGAATGGAGGAGGAGAACGACGAGGTGCCCAGGATGGTTTCCGCGATGGTCTCCACGATTGTCCAAGTTGGCCCAGGAAACATCTAACGTGGCTCCCGAAGGGTCCCAAGTGGACTCCAAGATAACTCTCACGTTGGCCTCGTGCCTCCCAAGGATGCCGCCTGGGAGGATTCTGCCGTCGTGGTCGTGGTCGTCGTCATCCTCGTCGTCGTCGCCGTCATCCTCGTCGTCGTCGCCGTGGTCGTCGTCGTCGTCGTCGTCGTCGCTGTCTGCCTCGTCGTCGTCGTCGTCGTCTGCGCTGCCCTGCCACACAGATGGCAGTTTCTGTCTGTTTGTGGTGTTGCGTTGTGCCTGTTTGTTGTTCGTTTGTGTCTTCTCTCTGGCGCTCGAGCGCTGCAGCTACTGAGAATACTGGGGACTTTCTGCAGTCTGCCCTAGCACCGCTCGCGGGCTTCCTCCAGATGCTGAAGCATGGCGCGGAAGGGCAACGAGCTCTTGGCCGTTGGGGTGAAGCGCACCGGGGCCGCTCGTGCGGCGAGCTGCGGTCATTGGATCACTTCAGTGAATATCTTGTTGCGCTCCGCGATTGTGTTGGGCCTGCCATCAGGGAAGGCGGGGGCTATCGCCAGCATGCCAGCTGGGGACAGGCTCGTAGTGAGACAATTGTAGATGCCCCTGCCTTTAGGGCCAGCAGTGCCCCAAAGGTCGGTCTTCCCGGAGATGGCGTAGGAGTAATCCTCGTGGGTGCACTGCTGGAGGTCGCACTCGTCCTCGTTCGGAGTCTTTCCGTGCCAGGTTGCTCGGGAGCGCGGCGCACACTTCATGCCCGTCATCGGGAGCTTGTCGCCCCAAGGGTTCTTCGTCGCCTTCTCCTCGTCTGGAGCGTGCAACCCGCACGTGTCGGTCTCGTTGTTGTACACGCATTCGCGCGGGAAGCACGCGCATTCCATCGGGCCACGCGAGGCCCAATATCCAGTCGCGGAAGCCAGCGGGAGCACCAAGCAGTTCGCCGCGAGGAAGCCCAACGACGCGCCCGCGGGCCCCGCCACGGCTGTGCCGAGCAAAGTGCCGAGGGGGAGAATCGTGAACTTGCCGATCAGGTAGACGGTGCCGAAGGTGCCGGCTCCCGCCACCTTGTTCCAGCGGCGCTGGGTGGTGGCGTAGGTGCCCTCGGGGCACATCATGCCCGCCTTCTCGTGGCAAGCGCCGTCCGCCTGCTCTTCGCCGGCAGAGAGTTCCCCAAGGACGCGCTTTTTGATGGCATCAACCTCCGCGTCGAGACGTTTCCTGCAAGACTTCTTGGTCGCAGTCCAGCTGTACTTGCCGTCCTTCAACGCTTTGTCCATTTGTTTAACCTCTTTCCACAGGTAAGCCTCGTCTTTACCGTAATCATGATACCAACTCCGCATGTCTCGAAGGTGTTCCACGAGATCCCTCACATCGATCCGGCGTCTTACACTATCCGCCAGAGACTTGCAGTCGGCTGTGTGGCTTGGGCACGCACTGTCAATCATACACTGGTAGGACAAGTCCGTCATTCCTTTTGCGCAGCGATCGAAAGCAGTATCAAAATCCGCCGTCCTCTTGGGGTGGGTCTACGGCGTGTAAAATTGTCGCCCCTTCCCAGCCCGGGCTCCGTCCGGCCGGTTTGGAAAGGGGGGGGTTCTGTGCCAAAATGGCTGGCGGATCCAACCGCCTCAAAGATGCTGATGTACGGCCTGCATGGATTCGACATGGCTTTTAAGGGTTTCTGGGCGATCCCAGATGACACCCAGTCGCCCAAAGATGGCTTCAAGACAGCTCACCAAGACGCCACCCGAGAGCTCCCAGAATCCCCCCACGAGTGTTCCAACAAGCTTTGTATTTTTGGCAAAGTTGCTCAGAAGCCCTGACAAGCGGCCCTATACGGGCCAATAGGCCTCGCAGAGGACCGCACGACGGTTCCAGGCGGCCCTGGGACGGCCCAAGAGACGCCCAAGACAGCCCAGGAGGACCCCGAGCCGGGCCCAAGACCGTTCAAAATTGCCCCAGGACGGCCCAACACGGGCCCCACCCACCCCAAAACGGCCCCATTGCGGCCCGCAAGGCTCGCAGCGGACATGCCAGCCTACGGCCCGGCCGAGGGGAGACGATGCTGCCTCTGCACGGCATATGGGCCCCAACAACCTGCAACCCGACGTCGACCTCCCAACTCCTGCGCCGCAGGCCCACGCCTCCCGTGACCCCCCGTCCTCCTCCACCTCCTCCTGCATCGCCACCGCCTCCTCCTCCTCATCATCCTCTTCCTGCCTCCCTCCCTCCCTCCCTCCGTCCTTCCTCCTTCCTCCTTCCTCCTCCTCGAGCACAGTCTGCGCGCGGCTGCGGAAAAAGCGCGGGGCCAGTAGGGGGGAACGTCCTGGGCACTGGGACCCGCTCTCGACGGTCTGGAGGCCCAGGCGCGCACTCCAGATGCCAAGAATAATGGGACCCGCTGTCTCAATTTGTTGAAGGCGCGGAAAGCCGAGCCGAGGGACCACCAGAAACGCGTCTCCGGAGGCCTCACATGGTTAGAACCGTATGGCCCTGCCACGCGCTCGTGACCTGGGAGGACTCAAGTGGTCAGAATCCTATGGCGCTGCTGGCCCACCGACGCTAAGATGGTGCGAGTCCTATGATGCATACGCGCGTTCGTGACCCGTTCGAAAAGTGAGAATCCTACGCCCGTGCCACACGTTCGCGACCTGGGAAGGAAACGGTCTGGAGGATACGTTTTACAAGGGATCGTGGCTTTTGGGGCTACGAATGCACGCTGCACTGCGGCGAGAACACGATTCCTGAGGAAGTTGTGACGCAATCTCGAACGATACGCCGATTCCAGCAGCGCGTCTGGCACCAGCGCCCTACCTCTCACAAGTCCCCTTGTGGGATTTCTCGTTGGTTCTGCTTGTACAGCCGTGAGATGCCAAATTTTTAGCAAGCGAAGCAGGCGGGGCAGGTCGGGTGTTCCGTCAGGCACGCCGAGCCTCACGTGCGACACCCTTCGGCGATCCAGCGGCCACGAGGAATGAAGAAGGACGGAGCGACTCCACCGAGCCTCCTCCTCCTCGTCCGTCCTCTCCACTTCCTCCTCAGCCTCCTCCTCGTCCTCCTTGTCCTCGTCGTCGTCCTCCTCCTCCTCCTCCTTCTGCCCTCTTCCTCCTCCTCCTCCTGCTCCTCCTGCGCCTCCTTCTCCACGGCGACGCAAAACGAGACTTGCGGATGCCCACGCCGCGCGGAAGTACGCTGATCATTGACAGCCTCCAGGCTTCTGAGAATCGGCCAATCCTCAAATCCCCCCCGCGGGGTCAAAAGTAAGGCACGCGGTATCAGCCCAAGACGATCCCTGGAGAGCCTCTTGGACCGTCTTGAGGCCGTCCTCGGGTCTCGAGGCCATCGGGAGCCATGTTCGAGCACTCTTGGGCGGTCGTGGGCCCTCTGGGGGCCCGCCTGAATGCAACGTGTCGAATGTATCAAGTTATTGCGTAATTGCTACATCTGGTTTTCTTTTACATGATGATGTGACCTCCCCAACCCCCAGATCAGAGTTACGCCACATCCGTGAACCAAAGGTGACCACCTTCTGGCCTCCAAGAACCAACCAAAACCTAAAGACAACCTATGACTTATGCCTCTTGGGCCTCTTAGGGGCCCAAGAGTGCCCCAAGATTACCCAAGATGGCCTCAATATGGCCAAAGATCGCCTCAAGACGGCCCCAAGACGGCCCACGATGTCCCCAAGAGGCCCCCAAGACGGGCCCCAAAAGGACCCCAAGAGGGTGTCTTGAGGCTAACACTATAGGTTTTGGACAGATTTTGGCGTTCTCGCCTTTTTCAACTCTCGGGGGCCCATGTCGCCCCAAAAAGCCTCAACGATGGTCCCAAGACGGCCCCAGAGGCCTCCAAGAGGCTCTCGAGACGGCCCAAGAGGGCCACAATATTGCCCAAAGAGGCCGCCAAGACGGTCCATGAGGCCCCCTAAGACGGCGAGGACTCCGCGAGAGCCCCCAAGGCGGCCCCGAGATGCCCCCCAGACGGCCTTCGAAGGGGCCAGACGGCGCAGGAGCGCCCCAAGACTGCCCAAGACGCCCACAAGAGGCCCCAAAGAGACCCACAAAAGGCTCCCAGAGGCCCCGAAGAAGCCTCCAAGAGACCGCCAAGAGACCCCCAAGATGCCCCCGAGATGCCCCAAGAAACCACCAAGATGCCCGCGGAAGTGTATACGAATGGCGCGTTGTTGCTATGCCCATCGGAAGTGGAACTTGACGTTGCCTGGTGCTGACACGCGGTGAATGCTCAGTGCCTGTGTGGACATTCGCACGCTCGTCCCAGAGGTGGAACGGTGGGGGGCGCATCCGCCCCCTTGGCGCTGGCAACGCCCCGGGGCGGGCAGCACGACACGGCAGACCAGCGCGGCATACGAGCAGGACAAACCACCCAACGCGCAGACTTTACGAGCTCTGGACGTGCACCCCGCGAAGCGAGAGGCATTCACGTTCCGAAGGAACGTGTTGCCGGAGGCAGGTCCGCGGATGCTGTAATGCAGCGAATCTAATGTATCCAACTATTGCACGATGCTACACCTTGCGTTGTTCTATATTATTATGTCTCCCCCTAACGTCTATCTGGAGTCGAGCCGCATCCGTCGACCACTCCCAACCAAGCCTTTCTTGGCTTCAAAACCGAAGGCAAATCTATGATTTTGGCATCTTGGGCCTTTTGGGGGGCCCAAAGGGGGCCACGGCCTCGGGACGGCCCAAGATGGCCCCAAGAGGGTCCAAGAGGCCCTCAAGACGCTCCAAGGAGGCCCCAAGAGCAGCTCCAGAGGCCAAAAAACATTGACCCCCTGGGACTGGCAGCGCCCTGGGGCGGGCAGAACTTCGCGGCAAACGCGCAGGGCAAACCACCCGACGCCCAATCTTCACGTGCTCCAGACGTGCACCCCGCGAAGCGGGAGGAATCCACGTTCCGGAAGGAACGTGTTGCCGGAGGCAGGTCGCGGAGCGGAAGCCCTAATGCAACGGTTCCCGCACATCCCAACATTGCGTAATTGCTACCGGGGGTCAAATGCGTACAAGAACCTAAAGAACATCAATGACTTGGGCCTCTTGGGGTCCAAAAGGGTTTCAAGACGGCCCAAGGTGGCCTCCAGACGGCCCCAAGAGGGCCCAAGCAGCTCCCAAGACGCTCCACAGGGGCCCCCGAGAGCTGCACCAGAGGCCAAAAACATTGCTTTTCCAGTGGGCTTTGCAATCTGTTCGCGTTCGAGTCTTTTTCGACACTCAAGGGCCCATGAGGGCCCGAGCAGCCTCTAAGATGGCCCCAAGACGGCCCCCGAGGCTCCCAAGAGGGCGACAAGACGGCCCCAATATGTCCCAGTGGGGCCCCCCAAGACGGCTCAAGAGGCACCCGAAACGGCCCAAGATGACGCCAAGAGAGCCACAAGGCGCCCCCAAGACGGCCTCTGAAGGGGCCAGACGGCGCAAGAGCGCCCGAAGACAGCCCACGAGGCCGCCCCAAAGGACCCAAGAGGCCCCACAAGGGCCCCCAAAAGGCCCCCAAGACCGGCCAAGAAGCCTCCAAGAAACCACCAGGAGGCCTCCAAGAGGCTCCAAGAAATCACCAAGACCCCCGCGGAATTGTATACGAATGGCGCATTGTCGCTGTGCTCATCGGAATTTGAACTTGACGTCGCCTTGTGCTGACACGCCATGAATGCCCACTGCCCTGGTGGACATTCGCACGCTCGGCCTGGCGCTGAAACGTTGGGGGGCGCATCCCCCCCCGTGGCATTGTCACCGCCCCGGGGCGGGCAGAACGACACGGCAGACGAGGAAGGCAAACCACCCAACGCCCAATCTTTCGTGCTCTGGACGTGCACCCCGCGAAGCGAGAGGCATCCACGTCCGGAATGAACGTGTTGCCGGAGGCAGGTCAGCGGAGGCGATAATGCAACGTATCCAGTGAATCCACTTATTGCATGGTGATGGTATTCTTTGTATTCTTTTGTCTTCCCCCCTAACGCCTCCTGGAGTCGCACCACATTCATCGACCACTCCCAACCAAGCCTTTCGAGGCCTCAAAAAGCATAGGAAAATCTAGTATTTGGGCATCTCAAGCCTCTTGAGGGTCCAAGAGGGCCTCAAGACGGCTCAAGATGGCTTCGCGACAGTCCGCCCTAAGACGGCCCAAGCTGTCCCCAAGACGGCCCAAGAGGCCCCCAAGACGCTCCAAGGGGGCTGCTCCAGAGGACAAAACTATTGCTTTTCCAACGGGTTTTGCAGTCTTTTCGCGTTCTCGCCTTTTTCGACGCTCGGGGGCCCATGAGGGCCCAAGCAGCCTCCAGGATGGCCCCCAGACGGCCCCAGAGGGCCCAAAGACGGCTCCAAGATGTCCTAAAGAGGTTCCCAGGACGGCCAGACAACGCAAGCGCGCCCCAAAGAGACCCACGAGGTCCCCAAAAGGCTCCAAGAGGCCATCAAAAAGCCTCAAAGAGGCCCCCGAGAAGCCCCCAAACGGCCCCAAGAAACCACAAAGACATCCGCGGAATCGTATACGAATGGCGCGTTGTTGCCATGTGCTGACACGCGGTGAATGCCCATTGCCTTCGTGGACATTTGCACGCTCGTCTTGGCGAAGAAACGGGGGGGGGCGCATCCGCCCCCCGTGGGCAGCGCCTTAGGGCGGGCAGAACGACACGGCAGACCATCGCGGCTGACGAGCAAGGCAAGCCACCCAAAGCCCAATCTTTACGTGCTCCGGACGTGCACCCCGCGAAGCGAGAGGAGTCAAACTGGTAGCCAAGGAGCTTGGTTTTGCAAGATTTTCGCGTTCTCGCCTTTTCCGACACTCGGGGGCCCATGACGGCCCAAGCAGCTTCCAAGATGACCCCAAGACGGTCCCAGAGGCCGCAAGAGGGCCCCGAGACGGCTCTGGAGGGCCCCAAGATGTCCCAGTGGGGCCCCCCAAGACGGCTCAAGAGGCACCCGAAACGGCCCAAGATGACGCCAAGAGAGCCATAAGGCGGCCCCGAGAGGCCCCCAAGACGGCCTCCGAAGAGGCCAGACGGCGCAATAGCGCCCCCAAACGGCCCAAGACGCCCGCAAGAGGTCCCAAAGAGGCCCACAAGAGGCCCCCAAGGGCATCCAACAAGCCTCCAAGACGCCCCCAAGAAGCCCCCAAACGGCCCCAAGAAACCACAAAGACATCCGCGGAATCGTATAGGTATGGCGCGTTGTTGCTGTGCTCAACGGAATTTGAACTTGGCGTTGCCTTGTGCTGACACGCGGTGAACGCCCATTGCACTCGTGAACGTTTGCACGCTGGTCCCGGCGCTGAAACGGGGGAGGCGCATCCGTCCCCTGTGGCGCTGGCAGCGCCCCGGGGCGGGCAGAACGACACGCCAGATCTTCGCGGCAGACGAGCAGGGCAGACCACCCAACGCCCAATCTTTACGTGCTCCGGACGTGCACCCCGCGAAGCGAGAGGAATCAAACTGGTAGCCAAGGAGCTGCGTTGCCGCCTTCTCCTCCTCCGCTTCCCACGCCTTCGTTCCATCATCCTTGAACAACCAATTCAGTTTGTGATTGGCTTGCGATGCCTTAATCTTATCCTTGAACTTGAACACTTGAATTACAAGGTCTATTGGCGAATCAGTCGTGTTTTTATTCTCTGGCATTCTAAGGCCGAGGCGCGTGTGCAACTCTGGCCAATCCATTGCGCGTGCCGCGACGCACTCGCGGACTAAGAGCTCCTTCTCCACGCCGAGGTCTGTTTTGCCGGGGAAATGCATGGACTCCAGCTCCTGCTCCTTCTTGTCCACGAGGTGAGCCGTCTCGTGCACGTGCCGGTGCGACGCAAGGATTTGCTCCTCAGCCTGCGCGACGCGGCGCGACCAGACCTGGTGCACGCACACGGACACCACCCAGGCGAAACGCAAGAAAATGCGTGGCTGCACCATGGCTCAAAATGCAATCGGGAGAGATCCGACCCAAAGCGACGCCGAACGCGCCAGGTAGGTTCAACAAACCACCATTTGGTAAACTTCGGCCGATGGCTACGTACCTACGGGAAGGCGGACGAGGAGCAATGATCGAAGGCAGATGAACGGTCGCCGGAGGGCTGGGTGAACCACTCCATGTTCGCCCAAAGTCGTTCCCTGGCCTCCTCTCGGGCACCCACCGTGCTGACCCGTCTCTCGAGCTGCGTCCAGCCCTGGCCGCGCGGGGGGCCGCCGTGCCCTCCCGAAGGACCCCCCCCAGGAACACCGAGCGCAGAGGCCAGCGGGAAGCGGGCGACTTGCTCCGGCGGGGGGGCCTTCGGACCCCTGCCGAGCAGCCGCGCCAGGCGATCCCGCGGGGCGGGCCCGGGAGCGCTCGCACTCCTGCCGCCCGAAGCGCGCCGCCTGAGGCTCCCGGCAGGCACTCCATGTGGGCTAGGCAGCAGCTGCGCAGAAGACATCACTCAGACAATGCTTGCACCTGCGAGCGTTTTTTTGATTCGGCGTCTCGACATTGGGCGGAAAGGGGGTGGGGGGAAGTGGGGGGTGTCTGGCTCTGGACCTCTACTCAATGCGTCTGTTTGCAGCAGTGGGCCCCATGGGGGAGACTCCCCCTGCTCGAAACAGGCGCCAAAAAACAGCCAAGATCTACTCCATGGGAGCGGGGGGGAGGGGGTGGTTCGAGGGCCCGCGCCGATCGGTAGAACGATGAGTAAAAACAGATCACCTTACGGTCAGAGGGGTCCGTTTAGTGTTAGTCGGTCGACCACTGGTCATACACGCTGAACCCACTGACGGCCTAGCGTGTGCATGCGTTGGTGTCGCTTAGCGTGTACCTAGCTCCCCAGTGGCAAGAGAGGCCCAGAACGGCTCGAGAATGTGCCCAGACGGCTCAGGACAGCCTCAGTAGCCGCAGAACGGCCCAGGACCTCCAAGAAGGCCCGAGGTTGCACCAAAAGAGCCCCTCGAGAGGCCGGGGACCGCCCGAGGGGCCCGTTGGTACAGGTGAGATTCGCGCCCCCGAGGCCATGATCCCTCATAAATTATTCAATGTTCGCGTCCCCGAGGCCACTCACTTTTTTACATTACGCAATTATTGCGTCCCCGAGGCAACAAGCCCTTGCAAATTACGCAATCTTCGCGTCCAGGAAGCCGTACACCTTCGCAAACTACTTCATGTTCGCATTGCCGAGGTCAAAGAGTGCTCCAAGGCGCTCGAAGATGGTTCCAAGACGGCCCAAGAGGGTCCAAAGAGGCCCCAAGAGCGCTCCAATGTGCTTCCCGAGAGAGCCCTAAGAGGCCAACATCGTAGATTTTATGGAGGTCTTTGAAGGAGTTGGGCCTTCTCACATTTTCGGCTTTCCGACGCTCCAAGACGGCTCAAGACGCTCCCAAGACCGCCCCAAGGCAGCCCAAGACGCCTCCAAGAGGGCCCCACGACGGCCCAAGATGGCTCCAAGATGACCCAAGAAGCGCTCAAGACGGCCCAAGAGGGCCCCAAGACGGCTCCAAGAGGGGCCCAAGCAGCGGACAACGAACAGAACATTCGATATTTGCCCCCTGCAGGAGGCCCCACGAGACGCCTAGAGGCCCCAAGAGGCCCCAAGAAGCGCCCAAGACGCGCCCAAGAAGCCTCCAAGAGGCCCAAAAGATCTGCCACGAGGCCCCAAGAGGCCCCCAAGAGGCGCCCAAACCGCCTCCAGGAGGCCCCCGAGAGGCTCCCCACGCCACCCCAACACAAGACAAGAGGCCTCAGACCCACAACCCAGGCACAGTGGCGGGATGGGCCGAAGGCCACTGGGATCCGCCGCCCCCTGTTGGCTTGCCACAGGGGTGCCTGGCGTGCTGGATCCTTTCGGTTTTGTTTTGGTTCTTTTTCCAAAAGAACTCTCCCCTGGGAAGGGACTGGAAGGCACCCAATTTGCAGAATTTGTTTCCCATGACGGTTCAAGATGGGTTTCAAGACCGCCAATATGGCCTCCAAGATGGCCTCCAAGACGGCTAAGATGGCCCTAAGATGCCTCCAAGACGGCCCAAGATGCCTCCAAAACGGCCCAAGATAGCCCCAAGATGGCCCAAGACGGCCTAAGAGGCTTTCAAGAGGCCTCCAAGACGGCCAAAGAGGCCTCCACGTCTCCAGGAAGACTCGAAGAGACCCAAATCATTGATTTTCCTCAGGTTTTTTCTTTCGGCTTTCCGACGGCCCGAGACGGCCCAAGAGCCCCCAATGATCGTCCCAAGGTCGCCCCAAAGGCCTCCAAAATGGCCCCAGAACGGCCCAAGAGGCCGCCAAGACCGGCCCAGGAGGGCCTCCAAGACTGCCCTGGAGCACCCCAAGACGGCCCTGGGTCGACCCAGAGAGGCCCCCAAGACAGCTTCCGACGGCGTCAGACGGGCCAGGAGCCCACCAAGACGACCCAAGATGGCTCTAGGATGGCCTATGACGGCCCAAGAGGCCCCCAAGAGGCCTCCAAGACGGCCCAAGAGGCCTCCAAGAGGGGCCTCCAGGAAGGCCCGAATATATCAAAATCGTAGATTTTCCAGTTGACGGATTTTGTCATTTGCGCCTTTCCGGCCTTCAGACGCCCCAAGACGGCCCACGAGACCAGAAAGATCGCCCAAGAGGCTTCCAGGATGGCCCCAGAACGGCCCGAGAGGCCCCCGAGACGGCCCCAACAGGGCCCCCCCAAGACGCCAAGATGGCCTCCAAGACGGCCCTGGAGCACCCCAGGAGGGTTTCAAGTCGGCCCAGAGAGGCCCTCAAGACGGCCTCCGACGGGCCAGGAATGCACTGAGACCGCCAGAAAGGCCCCCGAGAAGCCTCCAAGGCCCACAACAGGCCCAAGGAGGCCCCCGAGATGCCTCCAAGAGGCTCCCAGGAAGCTCCCAGGAGGCCCCAAGAGTGCCCCCAGAAGCTCCCAAGATGCCCCCTCCTCCTCCTCCTTCTCCTCCTCTCCTCCCCCTTCTCCTCCTCATCCTCCTTCTCTTCCTCCACCTTCTCCTCCTCCTCCTCCTCCTCCTCCTCCTCCTCCTCCTCCTCCTCCTCCTCCTCTTGATCTTCTCCGCCATCCTCCCCCAAGTGTTCCCCGAAGGGTTTCCACAACGGTTGGAGGAACTCATGGTCAGATGGCTTGGCAGAGCTCTTGCCACAACGCTCGGCCACATGGGCGATTTTAAAAGGCAGGGGGCGGCGGTGATTCGTCTTCGATAACGCCAACGTCTCAGCATGCGCTGATGCCTCCTATCCGCCCCCGCATGATGTTCCCAGATGCGCCAAGGCAGCGCCGAGACGCACCGACGCGACTCTGATAGATCACATTCTGATAGTGAGGAGGCCGGCGGCGGGGGGCGAAGCCCTTGCGGATAGATGCTAAAGAGCGCCAAGACGGCTCAGGACGGCTACAGTGGCCGCCCAGAACAGCCCAAAACATTTGTTTTGATTCGCGGGTCGAGAGCGCACCTCTTCCAGTCGAAGCTAAGCGGGCCACGCGAAGCTTGAATTAACAAAGAGAGGGCGAAATAATGAGAGGCCTCACGGTCAGGCCAGGAGGAGAACAGCCCAAGACAAGGAGGGCCCACAACCGAAGGGGGCCTCACACGAAAGGCCGGGGACGGCCCCAGAGAGCACCCTCCTGGTACGGGGGAACAGGGGGGGGGGGGAGCGGAAAGGGGCAGGTGCACGCTCCACGGAGCGAGGTCGAGTCGTTGCACGCCCTCCGAGGCCAGGACCCAGCGCAGCGCCCCTCCGAGCCCAGAGCCTCCCAAGAGGGCCCCAGGAGAGCCTCCAGACGGCCCAGTGGGGTCCTGAGGCGAGGCCCCCGAGGAGGGGAGGGGGCGGGGAGCGGGGGCAGGCGCGCACTCCGGGCAGGGGGTCCAGTGCACGCTCTCTGGGTCCTGGATCCGGCATGGCGATTCCTGCGCGGCACTCGCCACTCGACTCAAAACCAACACGCCGCGGAGGGGCCGCGGCAGCGGGCCCGACGGGCGGCGCGGAGGCGGGGAGCGCCTCACGCACGGGGGCGCGGCGACCTTCTGAGGCCGGACGGAGAGGGCCTCGCGCCACGGACGAACGCACGGTGGGAAACGTTTGGGGTCTTTCTGGCCTCTGGGGGCCCTCGCCACATCGTGGGGCCGTCAAGAAGCGACTCAGGTTGAAGAGCTCGCCCCTGGGAAGGGGTCCAGCTTCCAAGATTCCACGTGGCGGGCAAATGGCGACGGCGGGGGTCTGGGGATAGCGAGTCAACTCATGTGGCTGGTTTTCCAAGAGCTTCCAGGCACCGTAGGCTCCCATATATGTATTGGGGAAAATGCCTGGGCGGCGCAGCCGAAACCAGGAGCACGCAACAGACTTTGTTCTCTCCCCCTCTTCCTCCGATGCACGTTCTGGGGACCTTCCTGGAGCCACTTGTTCCACTCATGCGTCGATGCTGCGTCGAACGTCCGTAGACTTGAATCGAACTTGAATCAAGCAAGAGAGAGTCGAACTAGAATCGAACTATATTCGGACTAGAGATAACCAGAGCCGAGCAGATCCGTTGGGTGGGCCCCAGAAAAGTTCCGGATGAGGGCAACTCCGCTTAAAATGGATCCCTGGACCCCTCCCAAGGGTCCATCTGGTGGTGTCTTTCACCCCGGATCCGTTTTTCACGGTCTCTGGGGCCCGAAAGCCGCCCCCTCAGAGACCGAAGAAAAATGCAAACGCCTTTCAAGAACCCACGTCTCGAACCTGCTGCTGCTGTCCGGCAGCACGAGATAAGGAGAGAGAGAGAGAGAGAGGGAAGAGGAGGAGGAGGAGGAGGAGGAGGAGGAGGAGGAGGAGGAGGATGAGGAGGAGGAGGAGGAGGAGGAGGAGGAGGAGGAGGAGGAGGAGGGAGGAGGAGGGAGGAGGAGGGGAGGAGGAGGAGGAGGAGGAGGAGGAGAAGGAGGAGGAGGAGAGAGAGAGGACAGAGAAAGACAGGACAGAGGGCGGCGGCGGAGCGAGAGCCTGCCCGCCCACACGAGCACCTAATATTTCTCCAATCCCCCCCGTCGTCCGACCGCAGCGGAGACGCGGCGACCTTTTGCGCCAACGGGGGGGGCGCCAGCGAGCGATCGTGCAGCCTGTTCTCGAGTGCCCGCGGATGTCGACCCCGTCGTCCACATGGCGACCATCATCCTTGACATCCTTTCGTGGCGAGAAAACCACGACGGAGGGTTTGTGCTCGTTTTCGGCCTGCGGGGGTCCTCAGCGGGCCCCAGGACCGTTCAAAAACGGCTCAGAGTGAAACGCTGGTCTCGGGGAAGGGGTCCAGATCTCTGGGGAGCCCCGTTGCGAAAAAAAACAAGACGTCGGATGTCTGGATCGATCCATTGTTCACGGCGATCGCAGTCACACACAAATCGTAGGTTTCGGGATGACGGTAGCAGCGCTGCGGTGCAGCGCCATGTGGGCGCCCCGTGGCCAACATAGAATCTGGGACTTCTCCTCGTCCTGCTCCTCCTTGTTCACCTCCTCCTCCTTTTCCTCCTCCTCGCCCTCCTCCTCTCCTCCTCCTCCTCCTTCTTCTCCTCCTCTCCTCCTCCTCCTTCTCCTCCTCATCCCCAGGAATCCTCCGCTGTGATTTTTGGACAACGTGGCTCCCTAGAGGTCTTGACCCCTTTCCCCAGAACCAGCCGAATCGTTTTGACGGTCCCGGGGCTTGCGGAGGGCCCCTGGAGGCCGAAAATGGACAACCCCCCCCGTTGTGATTCTTTCGAAGCGAGAGGATACCAAAGTCCTCCTCCTCCATCCCCCTTCCTTATTGATAACTCCTCCCTGTCGCGCCCCGAGGCCGGTCGGAAGGGCGGGCCGGGCGTTTCGCCTCAAACTTCCTCACCGTTTATGATCCTGAAGCTGCAGGATTTGCTCGGATTTCACTGCTGGACGGCGGGCCGCTTTCAAAATGTGGCTCTCGCCTCAGCGCCGCGCACACTTTCACCCCCGCAGAAAGAAGACACGTGACATTTTCGAAGTGTGGCTCTCGCCTGAGCGCCGCGCACACTCGTTAAAACATTGCAGAAACGTTTCCCGGATTGAGGGCGGGGCGCTTTTAAGATGTGGCTCTCGCCTCAACGCCGAGCACAGTGACCTGTAACATTAGCAAGAGTTTCGCGGATGGAGGGCGGCTCCTTTTCAAAATGTGGATCTCGCTTTAGCGCCGCGCACATCGTTTAAAACATTTCAAGGATTTTCACCGATGGATGGCGGTTCTTTTTCAACATGTGATTTTCGCCTTCGCGCCGCGCACATTTGTTTCAAATGTTTGCAAGAGTTCCACAGAACGAAACTGGCTCCTTTTCAAAATGTGGCTCCCCCCTCAGCGCCTAGCATATTCATGTTTTGTAAACTTCCAAGAGCTTCACGACTGGAGGGCGGGTGGTTTTCAGCACGTGACTCTCGCCTTAGCGCTGGCGCGCATTTGTTCTAAGCGTTGGCAGCATCTTCCCGGGTTGAAGGCGGGCCGCTTTCGGAATGCGGCTCTCGCCTCAACGCCGCGCGCACTCGCTTCAAACCATGGGAAAAAATTGCGGCCGCCCGGGCCGGGTGGGCCAACTGGGAGCCGGCGGTATACCGTCAACCAGGTTACCGCCGGGAGCCTCGTAGAGCTCTCTGCACGCGTGGCGCTGCTCGGACACACAGGGAGAAAGCTTTCTCGAGCATCAGCTGAAAAACTCGAAAATGCATTTTTCCGTTGTCATCCGAAGTCGGATGGCCCCGCCGTCTCTGAGCTGGCCTGCCCCCCATCGCTTCCCCCCCCCGGGCCCGCCGCCGATCACTGGGGGGCGGGGGGAGGGGGAGGAGGGGGAGGAGGGGGAGGAGCGAGGAGGAGGAGGAGGAGGAGGAGGAGGAGGAGGAGGAGGAGGAGGAGGAGGAGGAGGAGGAGGAGGAGGAGGAGGAGGAGGAGGAGGAGGAGGGGGAGGAGGAGGAGGAGGAGGAGGAGGAGGAGGAGGAGGGCGGGCCTCTCTCAAAGCGCGACCCCCGGTCGGAGCGCCGCGCGCACTCCTTCTCCAGAAGTCGCGAGGAGCTCCACGGAGGGAGGGCGGGGGGCTCTTCAGAATGGAGCTCTCGCCGTGGCGTCGCGCGCGCTCGTCTTAACAGTTTGTGCAGCCGTGCTATCAAGGATTTCTCAAGGGGCCCTGGGGCACACAGAGAAGTACACACAGATACCAGAATTCCCCATGTTTTCCACATTTTCTGGATTATTGTCTTCCCCCCCCCACTTCCCATATTTTCCCATCTTCTTTGGGGAATCGACGAGTCATTGTGTCTGTGTGTTTTTTTCCTCCTGGATTTCCAATGTTAGTGTCCCAGAAATGATGTTTTGGCTGTGTGTAGGTCTGTCAGGGCGAAGTTGTTAACGTTGATTCGCGGTGTTGCAGCCCAGGACTGGTGTTCGGGCGCGATTCAGGATCGTCAAGGCGCAACAGTAATGTTAATTCGCGGCATTGCAATCCCAGGAATGATGTTCTGGCGCGGCTCAGGACTTTCAAACGGTTGTCTTCCAACGGGGCACTTCCCTGTGCTAAAGAATCTTTGTAAGGGCCAATGAGGAGGGAACTTGGAGGGAGGGTTTACTGCAACATCGTTGATCAGTATTGGGTTTGCACTGGTCCTCCTCCTGAGTACCTGGGCTCCTGACGGCTGAAGTGTCCTCAAGCGTGGCCATTCTGGCCCTGCTCCGCAAGGCTGGTGTGCAAAAGGGGTGCCGCGAAGAGGAGGGGGGCGCTGCCCTGGGAGGAGAGGGAGAACGATGAGGGGACGACCGACGACTGGAAAGCTCTGCTCCCGCCCCAGCTTGCTGACCCCCGGAGGTCCCCGGAAGTCCTCGGAGGCCCCAGGCAGGGGCCGAACACGTCCAATAACCGTCCGAAGACGTTCGAGATCCCTCCTCGTTCCTCGAGGAGGGCCGCGGGCAAAACTCAGGAGACACTGGAGGTCCTCTTCCGTCCGAAGACGTTCGGGATCCCTCCTCGATCCTGGAGGAGGGCCGTGGGTGAAGCGTAGGAGACGCTGGAGGTCCTCTTCCTCCTCCTCCTCTTCCTTCTCCTCCTCGTGGCGGGTGGGCCTGCTTGTCCGGGCGGGTCAGCGGCCACTCCCACCCGCTCCTGGGGCTAGAGGCCTCCTAGATGGAGTCGGAGTAGATGGGGTCGGATGATCGCGCCGCATCGCCGATACATCGGCGATGTATTGGCAATGCACCGGCGATGCACCGTCGACGTCGGCGATGCAACGGCGACGTCGATGTGAAGCAAATCGGGCATCGCAGCGAGCCGCATCGCCGATGCATCGGCGATGCGGAGCGATCCTCCGACCCCATCTACCCAACCCCCCCGCGTCATGATTCTTTCATGACGTCGACCCTGACAGGTCTGGACCCAGTCCTCGGGACCGGTCTTCCATGCTGGGTCGTTTCTGGACGGCCCCGAGGCCCGGCAGGGGCCCCCAGAGGCCGAAAGTACGGAGACACCTCCCGTCGTGACTTTCTCATGCCTCGAAAGGGTCCTCGAGGCCTCGAGGGGATCCACGAGGCCTCCAAGGGGGGTCTGGGCACTCCGACCCCGTCTGGGAGGCCTGGGAGGGGCGCCGCCGCGGCGGGCGGGCGGCCCGCGGCCCGGGCAGGAAAGCGGCCTCCGCGGCGGCGTGCCCTGCGCGAGCGCAGGCCGCGGGGGCGACCCTCGGGGCCGAGGCTCCGAGGGGCGTCTTGGGCGGGCCTTGATTTATTTATGTATTCTTTCACGCATCAGTGTTATTAATTATTACTGTTGTTGTTGTTGTTCTTCTTCTTCTTCTTATGACTGTTGTTCTTTTCTCTTCTTATGATTGTGTTTCTTATTATTATTTTGGTATTCGCATTCGGATTTGTATGTTTATTATAATTATTACTACTACTACTACTACTACTACTACTACTACTACTACTACTACTACTACTACTACTACTACTACTACTACTACTACTACTACTACTACTACTACTACTACTACTACTACTACTACTACTACTACTACTACTACTACTACTACTACTACTACTACTACTACTACTACTACGACCACCATTTTTGAATTCCTTTTACGGTAACTATTACTACTACTATTTCTGCTACTATTACTATCTTTATTTTTTATTGCAATTACTCGTCTATGACTATTTGTATTACTATCATCATCGCTATTTTTCTTCTTATATCTAATTCTTATAATCTTTACAAAAAATGATATTGTTATTGCTATTCGTATCCTTCCCCAGTCAGAGCTTGCCTCTGTAGGGGTCCAAGCAGATTCATATGGTTAGGTTAGCTGCGGCGCCGATTTCGGCGGCACGACCGGGTGCCGAGGTGCCCAGGTGCCCGGGTGCCCCGGTGCAGCCCAGGTGCCCGGGTGGCCAGGTGCCCGGTGCCGTGGTGCCCGGGTACCCAGGTGCCCGGGTGCCTGGTAGCCCTGTAGCCTTATAGCCTTGTAGCCCTATAGCCCAGTAGCCGCCCTATAGCCTTATGGCCTTATAGCCGTATAGCCGTATAGCCTTATAGCCCTATAGCCCTATAGGCCCATAGCCCTATAGCCCTAAAACATTCGGATTGGGTTTTCTCCGGTATCATTACTATAGTTACTCTTTTTCTCCTTCTTCTTCTTCTTATTATTATTCTCCCATTATCCTTATTACTCCTGCCATCGTATATTCATGATGAATATATGTATTTATTTATGCTGTTCTATGCATGCACTCAGTTGTGCTAATACTGCTGAGTATTAGTATGCGTATCCGTGCTGTTGTTGTTGTTGCTGTTGCTGTTGCTGTTGCTGTTGTTGTTGTTGTTGTTGTTGTTGTTGTTGTTGTTCAGGCTGATGACAACGGCCGCGCGTCTGAGCTCCGTGCGTCAACGCGTAAACTTGACGTGCAGAAGGCGGGGCGCGCTACCTGTCGTAACGGCGCCGGCTGGCTGCGAACCACAGCGGCGTTTTGAGCGGGTCATAGGCTGAGGGGCACTTCGCCCAGAAGACATGCCTTTGTCGGGCGAGCGGCAGCGTGGCCTGGCCGGTGTGGGCACGGCCCCATCCAGAGACACGGGGGCCACAGGCGGCGAGGATCGATCACGCTGCCGAGCAAGGCAAGGACGCAGGCTCCGAGGGAGGACCGAGCCTCGAAGAGTGGGCTGGACGTAGCAAGATCAGTCAGCAACGAGCTGGGAACCCGGATCGAATCGGAATGTGCGTCGGATCGGTTCACGTCGACACGATGTCGGAATCGAAGCGAATCGGCCGCGCCAGGGTGCACACCAACGCCATGCAAGCATCGGGCCGCATGGGATTCTTGGAGTATCGGAATCGAATAAGATCCGGCCAGCCGTAATCGACGACGAATCGGATCCATCAGATCGAACTGGGCCCTGCATGGGGGGTTACCCTGAGATCCTGGCGTCGCTATTTCTTCACAACGGGCGAATTTGCCTTGTTTCGGGCCCCAAGACCCTGACGTATTGATCCGGCTCGAACGGTGCTGCAGGCGAGATGGGGTCGTGGGCTTCCCGTCGAGCTTCTTCCTGACAGTGTTGCAATTTTGTCGTGACGTCGGATCTCAGGGAAAAGGAGAGGGCAGGACAAAAGGGCTTGGCGAATCAGCTCACGTATCTGACTCCTTCCCGGCGACGTGCCTGGAGGCGGGCCCGACACCAGCTGCATGCAGCAGATGCTGCACCCTCCCCTCTTCCCGATCCCCCCCCCTCCCCCCCTGTCGCCCGACCGCCGCGAGAGCATCGAGGACGGACGTCCGAAATGGGTACGGAAAGAATGGGTACAATGCCCAACAACAAATGTTGCCCCAAACCAACAGCGGCCGCTGTTGGGCAGGCGGCCTCCTGTCTCGAGTGGACACAGGCCGCGGCGGCGCGGACGGCGAGTCCTGCTCAAACTGCACAGGAACGGCTGTTGGGCATTGTGCCCATTCTTTCCGTGCCCATTTCCTTCGTGCAGCATCGAGGACGGACGCCCTGGCCCCCGCGCGGGCTTCGCGAGCGCGCGCAGGCCGCGAGGACGCCCCTCGGGGCCGAGAGGCCCGAGGGAGGCCCGCCCCTCCCTCGGGACCGCCGCGCGGGCACGCACGGCGCGGACACCCGCGCGCCGTGCGGCCGCTGCACCGGCGGAGGCCGCCCCGCGGAGAGGGTGGCCGAGGGTCGGCGGCGAGAGAAAAAAACCCAAAGAGAACGCACTGCAAAAATCAAAAGACGGAGGTCTGTCGCAAAGCTCGGCCCCTATAGGAGGGGCCCTCGCCCGGCCTCGGGGCCGTCAAAAAACGACTCCGAAGGAGAAACTGGTCCTGGGGAATGGGTCGAGACTTCCGGGGGCCCCGTGTTGAAAAAATCCGCCGACCCTGTCGGCGAGAGGGGGGGGGAAGCGACGAGCTAGGTGCGCTCGCGTCATGTCTGACGCCCTACCCCCCTCCCTCGCACAGTCCTGCATGGCGCTCGCGTCACATCTGACGTCCTATCCATGACAAGTGGCGTTTGTCTCCCCTCTGTTCGCACAGTCGGATGTCGCGGCCGGGCACAGCATTACATGGCATAGCATGGTGTTGAAGATCAGCGCGTCGCCTGACATAGCATGGATCAGGGGCGGGCCTGTTCGGAAGGCTCGGAAGTCCCCCGGCCCTGAGAAATTTTCTCGAAGCCTTCCCCGAAGACACAGAGAACCTCTCAGAAGGCCTTCTCTAGGAGAAGAAGAAACGGCCTACACATAAACTTTGGCGCTCCGCGCGGATTTCTTGGATCTGCGCTGAACCATCCTTTCTGGAGCGCGGAGCGCGCCAGGGGCGGCGCCGGAGGCGCCGCTGGGGAGGCCGCGCGGAGCGCCCAAAGTTTATGTTTACGGCGTTTTTTCTTCTTCGAGAGAAGCCCCGCCGCCTTCTGAGAAGGCCTTCTCCTTCTCACTTCCCCCCCTCGCCCGAGGCCGAGCATCAGGTCGGGCCGCACTCGCGGTACGGAGTCGGAGCCGCACCGCATCGGCTGCGGGATGATGCACAACAGCGTCGTGCAAGCACATCGGGCAACATCGGGTCGCCGGATCACTGGCATCGCCGCCTGCTGCGGAGAAGGCGCAACGCACCTGCGAGTTTGCAGGTGTCCTCGTGCATTCTGCTCCCTACCTCGCGCCCCCACCAGGCCTCTTGGCCGTCAAAAGCTAAGACAACCACGGTCCACGCGTCCCACAAGCCACCCGCTCAAAGGCTGGCCAGAATCGAATCGGGCTGGCCAGAATCGGAATCGAGTCGAATCGCTTGGCGCGAAATGGACCCTGCGGGGATCCAAGTTTAGAACATCTGCGTATGCATCCGACTGACATATCTTAAAGGCGCAGGAGGTCTGGGTTCCTTCTCGGGTTCCTTGGCCACAGATCTGGCCCGAGAGGGCCGGTCGGGACGCGTCACGGAACACTCTCGACGAAACGCAAAGCCTGGCTTATTGCGCGTGTGCTTCGCATCTTCCCGGTCTTCCACCTCATGCAGAGCACGGCTGCGATCAATATCGCGCCGACTTTGCTGAACATTGCCGCGCATGGGTGTTCACTTGCGCGCGTTCCGCACCAGCCGAAGCTCGACTTGATCTTGAAGTGTCCGCGGCAGCGTGAGAGCTCTTCGTCTTGATCGAACTTTAGAAGCAACATCTGGGCAGAGGGGAACGCCTGCCGAACGGCTTGCCATGGCACTGCGCTGGGCTGCTGATCAGCCAGTAAGAAAGATTCCGTCGCAGGGGGCGAGGCTCCCCTGGCTCTTTGGCGCGCACGCGCAAGCACGATGCATCGCCGAGGGCGCCGCGGAGGCGTGCGCGGAGGGGTCCCAGCCCTGGCGGGCATCTGCTGTCTGCGGACGTCCGACGCTTGTACCTGGCTCCCCTACCGCACCTCGGACTGAGGGCAAGACTCCGGGGCAACGACAGGGGGGGGACCAGCTCAGGGGGGGGGGAAACATCGACCCGGAATCGGCGATGCACTGTCGATCGATCGGCGACGGGCCCCCGAAAACGAATCCGCACGGTCCTCGGTGGGGTGGGCCATCGGGCAGGGCCCTGTCAGCGATGAATAGGCGATCGCGGGTCGATGCATCTCCCCCTGAGACCATCCCCCCTTATCGCTGCCCCTGAAAGACCAACCAGGGTCGAATCGAGCAGTCGCTCCAGCGGCGGCGACGAAGACGGCGGCGTCAGGAGGTCTCCAGAGAGGGCGTTCCAGAAAAAAAGCCTCGCCTTCGGCTCATCCTCGCCTTCGGCGGGCACCGCCGGAAGGTCAGCAGAAGCTGGCGGAAATAACACGGCGGCAGCTCCGCCGGCAGAAGCAAAAGAGAGACGTCAACATGTGTGGATCCAGCATTTCTGCAGTCGGCCAGATGTCTCTGGAGGCCTCTAGAGGCCCAGAAAAGGGCCGAAAGTGTCCAAGCAGCATTGGGTCCTCGATCCTAGAGCCTGGAATGGCTGGCTGCCTCTATCGCGGTCCCCCTCGACTGGCGACCCGATGCCCAGAAAGGGTTAAAGACGTACACACGCCTCGATGGTCGAGGCTGGCTGGCTTCGTCGAAGGCCCTGCTTAGTCGAGGCTGGCTTCTTTCATCGAGTTGGGGGCTGGCTGGCTTCGTCGAAGGCCGCCCTGCCTCGTCGAGGCCGGCTTCCTCCATCGAACCTCGGGGCCGGGCTGGCTTCGTCGAAGGGCCCCCGCGCGACGGCGGGCGCGTCCTCGCTTGGGCGGGGCCCCGCGCTGGCTGGGCCCCTTTGGGCGCGGCGGCCGGGCGGCGGCGAGCACCTCGGCGGATCCCTGCGCCTCTCTGGTGCCCAATCCTCTTCGTCGCCGTCGCCGTCGACTCGTCGCCCAGAGCCGCTCGTGGCCGTCACCCCCCGAGGAAGCGTCTGCGCGCGCACGCGTGTCTGCCGTCCTGCACCGCAGCGCGGGGGGGCCGCACAGAGAAATGCAACCGCTCGGGCCTCAAAGGTGGCATGCTCGCTGCCGTCCTCGCCATCACTCGTGCCACGGCGCGCGCGCAGGCCTGTGCCCGCGCCACCCGTTGGCTCAAGGGACTGGGTGAATGCGCTGGAAGCCTTCGTGTTTGGACGACGAGGGTCTTGCTTCCAAAAGAATCGGCCTCATTACGCCCGCAAGCGCTGTATCATCAACAACTTTGCGAAACTTGCCTGGTCAGTGCGTGCTGGCGTGGATACCAAACAATGACTTCTCTCATTCTGGATGGGTGAACCAAGTGGTGCGAGCTATGTGGAACAAGCGATGTGGTGCAATATTTGTGGTGTGAAGTGTGTGGTGCAAACTATGTGGTGCAATTGACTACCCTGCACCGCGCTTGACCACTCCACTGCTCGCGCAAACATCCCACCCACCCACCCGCAACTTGGTTCGCAAAATCTCTTAAGACCGTGACGGTGGGTACCACATGGCACTTGCCAACGACAGTGACGCCGACGACGACAGCGACAACGACGACGACGACGCCGCCGACAACGACAACGACGACACCGACGACGACTCCAACGACTTCGACGACGCCGACAACGACGACGACGACGACGACACCGACGACGACGACGACGCCGACGCGACGACGACGACGATGACAACGACGACGACGATGACGACGCCGACGACGACAACGACGACGCCGACGACGACGACGACGTCAACGACGCCGACGACGACGACGACGGCGGCGACGACGACGACGCCGACACGACGACGAAGACGACGACGCCGACGCCGACGACGACGACGAAGACGACGACGACGTCGCCAACGAAGACGACGACGAGGGAGGAGGGAGGACGACGACGGCGACAACGGCGACAACGACGACAACGACGAGGGAGGAGGGAGGACGGCGACGACGCGAACGACGAAGAAGGAGGAAGGACGGCGACGCCGACGACGGCAGCGACGAGGGAGGAGGGAAGACGACGACGACGACAACGACGACGACGACGACGACGGCGACGAAATAGGAGGGACGACGACGAGACGCCGACGACGGACGACGACGACGACGAGGGAGGAGGAGGAAGGACGACCACGGCGACAACGACGACGGAAACGACCACGACGCCAAAGAGGACGACGACGACGAACACGAGGAAAGACAGAGGACGACGTAGGCGACGACGACGACGACGACGCGGGAGGAGGGAGGACGGCGACGACGACGACGACGACGACGCAAGAGCGCGCGCGCACGCTTTTGTTGAAAATCCGTGTTGCGAAACCTTGGGTTTTTGTAGGTTTTTGGGACGCGCGATTTCGAATTCCTTCCGAAACCGATGGGTTTTGAAGGATTTCGACGTTCGCGCGCGACCACGCTCGCGTCTGCACTTCGTCCTATTTGTTGCAAAGGATTCTCGCGACGGCACACGTGCAAGGGCGTTCGACAGATTTCGACATGCGCGCGCGCGAAGCCCGTTTGGTAGCATTTTGTGAAAATCTTGGAAAACCTATTGTTTTCTTAAGATTTCGCAAGAGCTCGCGCGGAAGTTTTGTTAGCAAACCAGTGTTGCGAAACCATGTGTTTTTGTATGTTTTTGGGAACTCGATTGCGAAATCCTCCCGGCACCGAAGGTTTTTGAAGGATTTCGGCATGCGCGCGCGACGACGCGCGCGTGTGCACTTCGTCTCATTTGTTGCAAGGGATTCTTGAACAAGTGTTATGTTAGAACAACAAATGTCACCGCACAATGTTTTTTACAAGGGAGCCTCAGGGGGGGAACCCGGCCTGGTTGGGATGGTATGATTTCATATTCAGGATGGACGAGTGTGCAATATATATATATATACATATATATATATATGAAATTATGCTATCCCAGGGGGAAGCGTTAAGTCCGGGGGGGGGGTAGAGTCTAGTCTCTGTTTAGAAAGGAGAATCCACTCTGCTGAACTTGAAGTCGTCATCTCCACTGCTCTCGCAAACATTCCACCCACCCACCCGCAGCTTAGTTTGCAAAACCTGTTAAGACCGACTACGATGACACCGACGCCAACGACTAGGACGACACCGACGACGTCTCCGACGACTTCGACGACGACGCCGACGCCGACGCCGACGAAGACGACGACGACGCCAACGAAGGCGACGACGAGGGAGGAGGAAGGACGACGACGGCGACAACGACGACAACGACGACAACGACGAGGGAGGAGGGAGGACGGCGACGACGCGAACGACGACGAAGGAGGAAGGACGGCGACGCCGACGACGACAACGACGAGGGAGGAGGGAAGACGACGACGACACGACGACGACGACGACGGCGACGAAATAGGAGGGACGACGACGAGACGCCGACGACGGACGACGACGACGTGGGAGGAGGAGGAAGGACGACCACGGCGCCAACGACGACGGAAACGACCACGACGCCAAAGAGGACGACGACGACGAACACGAGGAAAGACAGAGGACGACGTAGGCGACGACGACAACGACGCGGGAGGAGGGAGGACGGCGACGACGACGACGACGACGACGACGACGCAAGAGCGCGCGCGCACGCTTTTGTTGAAAATCCGTGTTGCGAAACCTTGGGTTTTTGTAGGTTTTTGGGACGCGCGATTTCGAAATCCTTCCGAAACCGATGGGTTTTGAAGGATTTCGGCGTTCGCGCGCGACCACGCTCGCGTCTGCACTTCGTCCTATTTGTTGCAGAGGATTCTCGCGACGGCACACGCGCAATGGCGTTCGATAGATTTCGACATGTGCGCGAAGCCCGTTTGGTAGCATTTCGTGAAAATCTTGAAAAACCAATTGTTTTCTTAAGATTTCGCAAGAGCTCGCGCGGAAGTTTTTTTGGCAAATCAATGTTGCGAAACCATGTGTTCTTGTATGTTTTTTGGAAGCTCGATTGCGGAATCTTTCCGGCACCGAAGGATTTTGAAGGATTTCGGCATGCGCGCGCGACGACGCGCGCGTGTGCACGTCGTCCCGTTTTTTGCAAGGGATTCGTGACAACATGTTATGTGAGAACAACAAATGTCACCGCATAGTGTTTTCACAAAGGAACCTCAGGGGGGGGGGAGCCCGGCCTAGTTGGGATGGTATGATTTCATATTTAGGATGGGCGAGTGTGCAGATATATATATATATATATATATATATATATATATATATATATATATATATATATATATATATATATGAAATCGTATTACCCCAAGGGGAAGCGATAAGTCCGGGGGGGGGTAGAGTCTATTTTTAGAAAGGAGAATTCACCAAGTCAACCATGAATTGCCAATTTTACTGTTCACGCAAACATCCGACCCGCCCACCCGCAACTAGTTTGGCAAAAACCTGTCGGCCACGACTGCGGTTCCAGATTTGGCCTCCCTAAGAGCATCTTTATAGCCGCGCGCTCGCGCGCAAATCGACCAACTGGTATGGCACAACTGTTGTGTCGGCGATGGCGTTTCCCGACGGGATCTTCCCGGCGTGTTTCAAAGGCAGCGCTGGCGCGCGGGCTCCTCAGTGCGAGTCGGTGACCCAGGCGGGCGCGATATCATGATTACGTCGACAACGGCTACAGCGATGATGACAATATCGATGGTGGTGGCCACGGCGACGACGTCGACGGCAAGGCCAATGACAGCGCCGATGCTGGTGACGACGGTGTGAAGGTGATTGTGATGATGATGATGATGATGATGATGATGCTGATGCTGATGATGATCGCGGCAATGGCTGCGAGCAGCGATGAGAGGCTTGCGAGGAAGCGCGCGCAGAAATTCAAAGAACCAGTCAGACTTTCTGTTGAACTGCCGTTGGTTTCATGTGTTTGAAGAGCTCTACCTTGAAATGCCTCGAACAACAATGCAGTGGAAGGATTTCGACATGCGCGCGTGGCTGCGCGCGCATTTTGCCCATCTGGTCTGACTTGATACGGACTCGTGCAGTGGACACACCATGCTAGATCAACGCGGATGTGCCGCGAGGTGGGGTGATAGTGCGGGCTGTTGACGGGTTTGCAAACATCGCATGCTTTCCCTGTGATTGGCGCAAGTGCGCCCAGGCAGAAATTCCCACCAGCCCTTTGGGCCAAGGTGGTCTAGCGATATTTTTCCTTCCTCTTCCAAAACCCTCTTCCCTTCGGGGAGGGGTACCATGTGCGGGCGAGTGTGGATATTTTTTTGCACGGGATTATTGGCACATGTCCTTTCGAGATAAGCGAGTGTGTGCGCGCATGGTACTATTTTACAGGGGCGGGAGGGGTGGTGGTCGACACCAGCTTGGCGGGGATGGTCTGATTTAGTATATGGACAATTAACGATGGGGTAGAACCATATGTAAATTGCAATGTCCCAGGAAGGTCCAATACCTTGGGCGTGGTGGTGCAACGGGGGTAGACTCTATTCTTCTTGAACGAAGATATGTGGTACAAGCCATGTGGTGCAGTGTATGGGACGCACTACAGGTATGTCAACTCATGAGGTGTCAACTCCACTGCTCGTGCAAACATCCCACCCTCCCACCCGCAACTTGTTTGGCAATACCCACTCAGCCACGATTGCAGTTGCCGATTGGCACTTGCTAGCGCATCTCCATGGCCGCGCTGGCGTCGCGAACGCTCGCGCGCAGGGCGACCAACTGGTTTGGCACAACTGATGCGGCCTCGATGGCGTTCGCCAGTGGAGACTCCCCAACGTGTTTCAAAGCTGCGCTGGCGGCTGATGGTGGTGGCGATAATGATTATGACTATGGTGATAGCGATGGTGATGGACGACGAAAATGCCAATGGCGGCACCGATGCTGGTGTTGA